GGGATGCACGGTGGTGAAGGATGCTTGTGATGTGTTATTTTTAGTACTCACCCCCTTTGTACGGACCAGGCTCTAAGTGCCTCTGGGACGATGCTGGGTGGGTCTGGGAGAGTTGAGAAGGGTGTTAGAAGTGAGGGGCTGCTGGGATCTCTGCTTTCTAAGCCCTGAAGGGTGGATGGGGCCCCCTCCCCCTCCTTCTCACTGCAGCTCCCTGTCAAGCTTGACTGTTCAGTGGCCTCAAGGCAGTGTGGGGAGCAGAGGCAGCCCAGGCCTCGCCTTCCCCAGGTCACTCCCTTCCTGGAGCCCCAGTCCCAGGGAACTGTCCTAGAGTGAGTGTCTGAGAGTTTAACAGAGAAGGAGGTTATTTACTGGCCACTGGGGGGCGGGGCAGGTGCAGCCCTAGTGGGGAACACCCTGAGGTCCCAGCATCTGGGCCAGTTTCCAGGCCACCTGGAGCTTCCCATAAGCCCCTGGGCCCCACGGTCAAGAGATGGTGTGGATGGGGGTCCTCAAGCCTGGGTTCCCCAACTGGGACCATGACAGAGAAGTGACTAGCAGCCTCAGCCCTCCTCAGCATTGAATCATCCCCAGATCTCTGGGCAGGGGACAGAGACCTGGAAAATGACTGCTGTGGGAACTGCCGGTTGGCCTGGGTGCATGGGGGCCTGGAGTCAGATTTGATTTAGAGAAATAAAGAACATGACACTTCCCTCGTCTTGTGTGAAAAGCAGTTCATAATATTATCTCAGTCAACAAGGCCTTCCGATGGGGTGTTGGTCCTGAGGCCCAATGGCTCTCTCAAGTTCCACAGGGAGGGAGCACCTGGCCTTCATGGCCCTCACTGTGGGGCCTGACTGCTGCTGTTTGTTCATGGGTCTCTGGGCCTGGAGCCCAGAGCAATGAAGGCCCTGACTGACCATCCCAACTGGGGCCGGCTTAGAGTCTGGGGATTTAGGGAGATTAGGATTTGAGCTGGGTTTATCAGAGGCGCCACTCTGGGGCCCTTGGGGGTGGTTTGGCACTGGGTACCTCCGGCTATGTTCTGGTCACCTCAGAGAGCTGACTCTAGTCCTGGCTGGCTGCCCACTCCTCTGCTCAGTCCAGTGGGTGGTCTGAGGGGTTGGCAGGCAGTCAGCCTTGTGCATTTTGGACCTGGAACAGGGTGGGAGGGAGCAAGGACCAGGGGCAACCTTTGTTCTCCTGCAGATGCTGCCCCAGAAATGAGTTTCTCCTTGGCCAGAGCAAGCCTTGCTGATGCTGGGTGGAGCCAGCATTCTGTTGTGGGACTTGAGTAAGACACATGAACTGTAATGCTCAAACCACTGACCTTGGAGGATAGGAGTGTGTGTGGAGGTGCAGGTAGGAGGAGGAGGAGGAGAAAATGATGGTGAGGAAAGGGGAATTGGGTGGGTTGGGCAGGAGGCTGAGCTTCAGATAAGGATGCTCTTTACGTGAATAGCAAGTTTCCATTGTTTGGGTGCCTAGTAGGCTCTGGAGTGGGGGCTGTTCATGGGGTAGCTGGGTTAGAACCCAGGCATCCTGCACCTGCACTCAGTTGCACATAATCAATCCATCCAGACCCCTATTAGAATCCGAATGACTGAGAAAGTGTGGAGTGGAAAGAACAAGGGCTTTGGGGACTGGTGGGCTCTTGGCTCCACCATGACTCCCTGTGTGACCTTGGGAAGTCACTCCACCTATCTGGGCCTCAGTTTCCTCCAGTCTGTGGGGACACTTTGTCCCTGTTGGGAGGATGAGATGAGGTGATGGGTGTGAATACACCTGTGGATTCAGTAACACTGCAGATGATGTGAATGTTCACCTAGAATATCCGGGAGAATTATTAGCCTGAACCTTCAAGTTGATGGGATCACAGAAGGGTGAGTGTCACACGGCAGGAATTTCCTCCATGGCAGCCCAAAGAAATGCAATGAAGAGGGAAAGATGCCATTTATAGTAGCCTGAAAACCAGGAAAATATCCAGGATTAAATGTGACAAGAAAAGGATATGAAGAAAGCAATGGAGCTGTACTAAAGGATATGGAAAGAAAACCTGAAGACATGGAGAGAAGATTCCTGTCCTAGGAAGAGAAGAGCTGATGTGGCTAAGAAGCCAAGTCTCTGAACAGAAATCCATAAAACTAGTGCAAGTCCAGCAGTGTTTTAAAAATGCACTTGACAAGCAGATTGTAAAGTGAAAAAGAAACTATGTGAGAACAGCCAAGATTTTGAAACAGAGAACTAAAGAAGGAATACTCCCCGTAGTGCAAACCAAAACCAAAGCTACAGTAACTGGAAGAGTGTGATGCCAATGCAGGAGAAGACAGAGGGCTCAGTGAAATGGAAAAGAGACTGGAAACTGCGTCAAGAGTGTTTCCAAGCTACAGGGAAGAGTATTTCCAAGCTATTTGGGTAGTAATCTAGCAAAAAAGAAATTAGATCCCTACCTCACACCATGCAAAACAAAAAAAGAAACAAACAAAAAAACACTGGGATTCATTCAAGAGCTTATATACATCTAGATCTTTTGTGCATGTATACATTAAACAAAAAACCCAAACCAAACCGGTTGCCATTGAGTCAGTGTTGACTCATAGCAACCTCATGTGTTTCAGGGTAGAACTATGTTCTGTGAGGTTTGCAGCGGCTGTAGGGCTCTGGAATTAGATCTCCAGGTCTTCCTTCTGGATCATAGTTAAGCACCTGGCTATTAACCCAAAGGTTGGTGGTTCAACACACACACAAGATCTAGAATTGGTTCAACTCCACCAATTCCACCAATTGGGTTAATAGCTTGAACTGTTTGTGGTGCCCAGGGAGTCCACATGTATGCATTAAAGAGTATATATGTTTAGTGTGTGTATAGAAAACCAAACTCACTGCCATTGAGTTGATTCCAACTCATAGTGACCCCCACTGGGTTTCCAAGGAGGTAAGTCTTTATGGAAGTAGATTGCTCCATCTTCCTTCCATGGAGTGGCTGGTGGGTTTGAACTGGCAATCTTCTGGTTAGCAGTCAAATGCCTTAGGCACTGCACCGCCAGAGCTCCGTGTGTGTATGTATATATAGGTAGTTCATTGAGTTGATTCTGACTCATGGGGATCCCATGTGTGTCAGAGAAAAACTGTGCTCCATGTTACTTAATCCAATGGCTGATTTTTCACAAGTAGATTGCCAGGCATTTCTTCTAAGGTAACGCTGGGTAGACTTGAACCCCCACCTTTCAATGTGCAACTAAGTGAGTTAAGTATTCGTACCATCCAGGGGCTCTGTTTAATGTGTAGGCATCTGTATTATAAAAGCAGTGGAAGAAAATATAGGAGTATGTTCTAGATACTTGGGACCAGGGATGTCCTTCCTGGACAATGCATAAAACTTCAAAGCTTTAAGGGAGGAGATTGGTTTGACTACATAAAATTTTCAAAATATCTGTTGCACAGAAGACAATTGTAACAAAGTTGAAAGACCAGTGCCTGGGAGAAAATGCCTGCAACATATATTACAGTTAGAGTGAGACTGAGAGGGGGCTTTGGGAAAAGAGGCAGGGTGTCCGTGGGTTTGCTTTTCAACAAATAACCACCTCAGTATTGTTTGGCATTTTAATAACAAGTATGGTTCACAAAAGGAGCCCTGATTCAAAACTACCAGCACCTCTGCAGGAGGAAAGACCTGACTATCTGCTCCTGTGAGGATTACAGCCTAGGGAACCTATGGGACAATTCTCTCTGTTGTATATGGTTGCCGTGAGTTGGAATCAACTCAGTAGCACAGAACAACAACGTCGTTTACATAAAAGTTTGGAAATAACACCAGACTGGGCATGTGTGGTCCAGGGCCACTGACTGCTGGGAGGGAGCAGAAGTGTGAGGTGATTGTGGAGACCATGTTAGAGCAGGCCCTGGCGCTGGCTGATGGAGGAACCCTGAGGCTGGCATGGAGGCCTGGCAGATGGCCAGAAGGGCAGGTTCTGCATTAACAGGGGTACATGCCTGGCCAGCCCTCCTGGAAGACTAGTGGATTTCTGATTTATCCGCCCTTCTAATGCTCAGCTGACCCTTGTCAATGTCTCCACCTCCCTGCTGTTTCCTAGGAGTTCCCTCCCCTGCAGGCTCCAGGCCCTGTGCCCATTCCACCTTGGCTAGTCCTGCCTCACCCTGGGGCCTCCCATCGCCTGCCTGGGCTCCGCAGTTGACAGTAAGCTCAGCGATCATTTCCCAACACCTCCCACATGCCTCTCAGTTTCGTGCTGCGGGATTGGTAGCCTTGTTTTACGGAAAGTCCCTGCAGATGCTGGCATATCTATAGCAACCTGCAGGCTCTCGGGTAAATGCTGGACTCGGCTCTGGCAAAGATCAGCCTGACGAAATAAGGATGTGAAACTTCGGGGTACGGAAACTTTGACATCTGAAAAATGCCGAGGTTCAGAGAGGGCACGTGTCTTGTCTAATATCATACAATAAGCTGTCTTTATGATGTTGAAGGACCTCTGGTAGCCTAGTGCCTAAAGGCACTTGACTGCTAACTTCAAACTCACCAGCCACTCCTCAGAAGGAAGATGGGGCCGTAGAGATACTGCCTCGGAAACCCAAGGAGGGGTCGCTATGAGTCAGGTCCAACTCGACGGCCCATGACAACAACAACAACATGATGTTGAAACATTGCAATGGGCAGAGGTGGGACTTCTCATCCACCACCTCATCTGATGTTCATTGCAGCCACAGTCCAGTCCCCATTGCACAGACGGGAATACTGAGGCCCCAAGAAGGCAGGTCTTGCCCAAGAGCACATGGGCATCAGGGGCAGAGCCCAACTTGAAGCCAGGGAGACATCCTGCATGCAGTCAGTCAGCCTGGTTTGAATCCTGGCTCCATGAGCTCTGGCCAATTTTGTCACTAAGAGTCTTCACTGTGAAGTGCAGCCTTGTGGGGTTGTGGTGCCTAACCAAAGGACACTCGGCTGGGGGTGAAGAATAAACTTTAATCTCTCTGGGATAAGGGCTCTAGCTGGGCTCATCTCTGGGTGGGGCCACAGAGCCGTGGATGCGCACACGGTACAGGCATGTGAAGCGTGGGCTCCCCCAGTTGCTTGAGATCTTCACCTTGACCGCACCAAAGGGTCGGGCGGGCTGGTTCTGCAAGGGAGAGTTGCAGACATGGGCACAACTGGCCAGAGGGGTGTTTGTGAGTGGAAGGGGCTCTCCTATTTCACAGGGGCCCAGAGAGGGGAATGGACTGTTCAAGGTCACAGAGCATGTTGATACTCAGTGACTGGAACGGGAGATGCCAAGGTGGGGAGAACAGGTGCCCTGTGGTTGGGAATATGTCCCAGCCTTAAGGGCCTGCCATGCACGTGCTGTGAGTTTGTGGCCAAACCATTACCCTTCTCTGGGCCTCAGTTTTCCTTTCTATGAGATGGGAATAGTAGTATCTACTTTCCGGGGTAGTAGTGAGCATGAGACGAGCTCTTGGTCTAGGTGACCTACCGGCACGTGTCGCAGAATCGAGGCTCTGCATGCAGCCGCTCCCCTTTCTGCCCCTTGGGAGGAGGCTGAGCCTGTGTTTCCTACACAGCCCCTGGGCTGTGAGATCTTACTGAATGTTCTAACCTCCCAGGGAACTACAGAAGGGAAAACTAAGGCCCCAAGAAGAAAGGGATGGCCCAAGATCACACAGAATTTGCGGTTGGGCTGGAATTGGTTGGCCTGATTTCCAACCCTGGAATTCACCCTGTCAAGCTGCCCGGGGCCATTCCAGAGCCTCCCCTCTGATCCCACTTCTCTCCCTTCCCTCCAAACCTCATTTTCCCACATGTCATTGCAGTTGGATTAGGTACTGATTCTGAAGCATCCCAGGACTGAGACTGTTTGGAGCCACAGCCCCAACTCCAAGGGACCCCTCCTGTTCATCATCTGCTGTCCCTAGGAGGGGACGCAATGAGGGGGCTCCTGGGCAGAGCAGGGAAAATGGGGGGCCGCCAGAGGCTGGATAGCTCTCTCTGAGTCCATGTCTCTGAGCCTCAATTTCTTTGTCAGATGAGTTAGTAACCATTGTGCCCCTCCCGGCACTATTAGGGGGTGAAGTGAGGACCCTGGGTAAAGGCCAGAATAGACTGTGCATTCAGTGGGTGCTCAGTATGGGAGACTTTTCCCAGGTACCTGGAGAGGGAACATCTGAATGGTATTTTCTGGCTGGAACTGGAATGCACCCAGGAACACCTCCTCCCTGGGGTTGCCCTCCATGCCCTGTGGAGTGAGACCAAGGAGAAGGGGTCAGATGCAGGCAGGGCCTTCAGAGACTGTCTCCCCTTTGCAGTCAAGACTTGCACACCTCCCAGGATGAGGTGCTTCCTACCTATTTGGGTTCTGTTTCACTGAGGCACCGAGTGTTGTTGTTATGTGCCGTCGAGTCGGATCTGACTCATAGCGACCCCTCGTTGGGTTTCCGAGGCAGTATCATTACAGAAGTAGACTGCCCCATCTTCCTTCCGAGTGGCTGGTGGGTTTGAACTGCCAGCCTTCTGGTTAGCAGTCAAGTGCCTTAGGCACTATGCTACCAGAGCAACAGTAGTAGGTAAGAAAGAGCATGGGACTGAGAATTAGAAGGCTGAGGACCTATTTCTAACTTTACCATTGACTTGTGGGATTTGGGTGTTTCCCTGACCTGTCTCTGGACCTTAGCTTTCTTATCAGTAAAATGGGGGCTTAATGGTTAGGAGCTCCCGTGGTATAGTGCCTAAGGCATCTGACTGCTAACCAGAAGGTTGGTGGGTTCCACCAACCACTCTGTGGAAGGAAGATGGGGAAATCCACTTCTGTAAAGATTTATTGCCTTGGAAACCCAATGGGGGTCCCTATGAGTCAGAATGACTCAATGGTAGTGAGGTTTTTTTTTTTTTTTATTTTTTTTTAATGGCCTCTGAAGACTCTTACGCTGATAAAGCTTGGGTTGAAGCAGAGTAGCTGTTTGTTCCCTATCCTTAGAGGCTGAAATCTGGCCCCAACCCTGGCCATTCCCAGCCTTCACAAAGCCTCAGCCACCTCCTCTAGGCTGCGTGAGCTGTGCAGATACTGCTCAGCCCCCTCCCTCTGCCTAGAATGCCACCATGATGAGGCTGTGCCTTTAGTGCAAAATTACACCCTGCTGGGCATGCTCACATAGACGACGAAGTCCTTGGGGGCCGTGTCCAGGCTGCCCGACAAGGAGATGGTCTTGGGGATATGCTGCAGTGTGAGGTTGGACAGGTAGATCTTCTGTGCCAGGCGAATGGTTACTTGGCCGCGGTCACCTGAGAAGGCCCAGCAGTTGCCAGGTGTCACGTTGGGCTGGAAGGGCAGGGGCAGTGAGGGCCATGCTGGGTGGGTGAGGGAGTGTCATTCACCCACCCTGGCTCCCCTACACCTCCCTGGGTCTCCTGGTTGAGCTGGAGACAAAACTTAGCTTGAGCGACAGCTCCTCTAAGAGATTTCTCTGTCTGCGGCAAGGATGAGTCTTCCCCCAGGCCAGTGCAGTGAGGCTGGGGCCTGCTTCGGCCTTCTAGTCTCCAGCCTCTCCCCATTGGTCCCTATTCATTCATTCATATATTCATTCATCCCTCCTATCATTCGTTCTTTAGATGGTCTCACAATCACCCTGAAGTATAGGCACCATTGTACCACCATTTTACAGATGAGGAAACTGAGAAACGGTAGGGTAGTGACTTATCCAGAGCTGTGCGGAGCTGGGAGTGTGACCCAGGCAATCTGACCCCAAGCTGCCTATGAATCACCGTAATCTCCTGCCCTGAAAAGGGGAAACGGAGGTGCAGAGAGGGGAAGAGGTTTGGCTGAAACCACAGCAAGCGTGTTCATTCAGCAGGTTCTGAGCACCTCGGAGCATAGATGGTCCTCATCTAGAATAGAAGGTGCTAGATGAGGAGCCCAGGGGCCTGGGGCATCAGAGAGGGGCCAAGACCAAGAGAGAGGAGGGGTCAGCTGGGAAGGCAGGACAGGGAAGGGTATTCCAAACAGGGAACAGCATGTTTAAGACCCAACGCTGAGTTGGGCCTGATGATATGGGAGCTGAAGGGAACTTGATCAGGCTGGAGGGTGGAGATAGGCTAAGGGACAGAGTCCTGCTGGGCTGGCCCTCCTCTCAGCTCCAAACCTGACCAAAGCCAGCACTCTGCTCCCAGTCCTGGCCCCACCCCTGGCCTGGCTCTACTCCCAGCACACCCATTGCCATGCCACTCAACCTTCACCCGCTGTTCCTGTGCCCAGCAGAGGCCCCTCCTCCCTGTCTGTAACTCCTGCTGTCTTTGGCCACCTCCACCAGGAAACTTTCTTTGTCCAGCTGGACAATGCTGCTCTAGCCTCTGACCTCGAGTGCTGGGCTCTTGGTGCTCCCAGAGGGTGGGGCCCACAGACAAGTCGCTTGTAGCCTCGGTGTTGTCCAGGATGGGTCATTAAGTCACTCAGTGGTGTTTGCTGAATGAAGGTCCTCATTCTATGACCAGGACAAACCCCTTACTCTCTCTGGGTCTCACTTTCCTCATCTGTGAGGCAGGATTCCAAAGGAATGAAGAGCTCAGGTTTGAATCCTGGCTCTGTCACTACCTGTGACCAGCTGCAGACAAGCGTAGCAAGGGCAGGGCATGCTTGTGCCTTGCAGCTTTCAGTCTTCCCCCCCTGACCCCCTCTTTGGTCCTCAGTCTCCTCTGTAAAATGGGGACATCAGGGCTCATCCTCCAGGGTGATTCTGAGAGTTCTCCAACCCTTAAGTCTCAGGAGTTGGGAAATGGGGCCCCTTCCCGTGCATACTTCAGGCTGCCCCTCAATCCACCCTCTCCCCTTACAACAGCATCTGTCCTCTGTTCCCACCTCCTGCCTCCGCCCTGATCCTGGAGCCCTGCCCTTGCCTCCTGACTTCTCCCTGCCCCCACCTTGTCAATTGCCCCCTCCTTTTGCCCCCTGCCCGTGGTCCATCTCTGTCTCCTTGCTCTTACCCCACCCCACCTCATCCCATCCCACCCCTCTCCAGGTCCCTGGCCACCTGTCCCAACCTCTGCTTTCAGTTCCTGTCCCCAGACTGCGCCTGACCACATCCTCACCCCGTCCCAGCCTCCTGCCCCTCTCCCCTTGGCCCCTGCCACTGCCCCTGCCTCGAGGATCACGTCTGGGGGCTGTGCATAGTTCCATAGTCGGATCCAGTTCCAGTAGGAGCGAGCCTTGTCGTGGTTGTATGTGGCTGACGTGTGCTCAAAGTCGATGGTGGCCCCTGCGTGGGAGATGTTGGGGGTGGGTGAGGGTGGTCCTCAGTGAGCAGCTCCCATCCTCAGTTCTCCTCCAGCTTCTGCCCAGTGGAGGAGAGCCTCATTGATGGAACGCTCCCAATGTTCCAGGCAAGGGATGAATCTCTGACCCTCTCTGGGCCTCAGTGTTCTCCTCTGGGAAATATTTACAACAATAAAAGTGATGATAGCATCCACTTCAGAGGGCAGTTGTGACGCTGAACAGAGTAGATACAACAAAACGCTCTTCCAGCAGAGCCTGACACAGAGTAAGCACTCGCTGTATGTCAGTCTCATTCCTGCCATGGTTGTGATTATGCCCATTTTACAGAGGAGGAAACTACAGCCCTGAAGGGTTAAGTGAGGCCCAAGGTTACTCAGGAGTTGGGCTGATGCCCTCTGACCCCACATATCAGGGAGCCGGTGGGTGCTCGGGTTAATGGTGCCAGCTGGCTGGGGTGCCCCTCTCTCCAGCCTGGTCAACCCACTTCACCCTCTCTCATGCCTCCCCTCCAGTGCTCTTGTGGTGCCTCACACAGGTCTCTTTACCATCTACTCCTTCTGTGTGGAGTGCTTTTCCCTCCTCAGCCATCAAGTCTCATCCCAAATGTCTCCTACCGGGAAGCTTCTCTCTCCTCAGGGCCTGTCTACCTCAGCCACCTGCTTTAATTTTCCCGACAGTGATTCCTAGCGTAATTTGGCCTGTGTTGATTTGGTTATTTGATCAGCCTCCTCTGTCCCTAAGGGCAGGAACGGCTCTGTTCTGCTCACTTCTGTGTCCCCAGCACCCACCACAAAGTGCCTGGCTAGGTTTGGAGAAAGAGTGCATCGGTGAAGGGCTGGGCAGAGAGGCAAGGGCAGTGTTGAGGGCGTGGTAACTGGTGCTTCCTTGTCCCCCTTCCCCAAGCCCCATCGTAGAAAACAGAAAACTGGCAAGAAAGCCAGATGGGCAGAAGAGGTTACCTCTGAGGATGCACTTCTCAGCAAAAGTGGGAGTCTGTGAGAGGCACCAGACCAGAACTGAAATACACCTTCTAAAGAGTTTCTGAGAAAAATTTGAGGTGGGCGGACAGGGGTCACTTACCTATAGACTTCAGGGCAAAGTCCGGCTTTTCAGTGTAATCTCCTTGTATCATCTTCATAATTTTCTGGGCCATTCTTTGCTGAGAAGGCAGAAAACATAAGTTGTGCACTGCTGTGTTCTTATACATCACAACCCATATGTGTATGTTCATACTAGATGATAGGTGGATGACAAGACAACCTCTCCTCTCTAACTTCTTACCCCGGCCTGTGGAAGCCCATGGGCTGGCTCACACAGGAGACTACCCAGTAGCCATACTGTGAGGAAGCCTAGGCCACGCAGAGCCATTGACTGTTCTACTCCATAACCAGCAGGTTTATGTGGTGGGCTTTTACCTCCACCATCAAATGGTGTCATGGGCTCTGGAGTCCACAGACCTTTACTGCTATGGGGCCTTGGGCAAGTTATTGCTCTCTCTGAGTCTTGGTTTTCTTGTCTGTAAAATGAGGGTGATAATGTCTACCTCCCAGGGCTCTTGTGAAGATGAGCACTAAGTCTTTTAAAACCTGTATTATGTGCCAGGATTGTGATCAGATTCACATATGTGTACTTTTATTCCCTCACAGCAATCCTAGGAGGTGTTGTTATTGTTGTTATGTGCCGTTGAGTTGGCCTGACTCACAGCACCCCCTCCTTGGGTTTCCAAGGCGGTATGTCTTTGGAAGTAGATTGTCCAATCTTTCTTCCAAGGAGTGGCTGGTGGGTCTGAACCACCAGCCTTCTGGTTAGCAGTCAAATGACTTAGGCACTATGCTATCAGAGTACTATTATTATCTTTATTTAAAAGGTAAGAATACTGAGGCACAAACAGGTAACTTGTCCAGGGTGACACAGCTGGTAAGAGATAGAGCCAGACAGTTTGGTTCCAGAGTTTAGGCTCTTAAACACTACACCCTACTACCAGATAAAGACTACAAAGTCCTTAGCACTGTGTCTATAAGTAGTAGGCACTCAATAAATACTATACCTGTTACTTTTTGCCATTAAATTGATTCCAATGCATAGTGACCCTATGTAGAGTCGAACTGCCCCTAGGGTTTCCAAGGCTATACTCTTTATGGAAAAAAAGAGCTTCTTATGCATATCAGGGGGAGTTCTGGTGGCACAGTGCCTAAGGCACTTGACTGCTCACCAGAAGGCTGGTGGTTCAAATCCACCAGGCACTCCTCGGAAGGAAGTTTAGGCAATCTACTTCTGTAGGGATACTGCCTTGGAAACCCAAGGAGGGGTTGCTATGAGTTGGGTCCGACTCAATGGCAGTAAGGTTTTTTGTTGTTGTTGTTGTTGGTTTATGCATATCAGGAGCCTTGGTGGCACAGTGGTTAAGCTCTCAGCTGCTAACCAAAAGGTGGACAGCTGTGAACCCACCAGCTGCTCCACAAGAGAAAGGTGAGACAATCTGCTTCTGTAAAGATTTACAGCTTTGGAAACCCTGCAGGGAAGTTCTACTCTGTCCTAGAGTGCTGCTGTGAGTTGAAATCATCTTGGTGAAAGTGGGCTTGGTTTTGGTTTTTAATCTTATGGAAGCAATAAATGCTAGATGTTTTTATTAGACTTTTCACAGCTGTGACAAGATTTCAGCCAACCCAAGATGGCTAAAACAAGATCTTCCATTCCTCATACTCTTCTTTCAATGTGATGTTGACATTCTTTCCCCAAAGTGGTGAGATTCTAAGTTCCTGCCCTCTAAACCTGGTTGGACCTATGACTGTTATGGACGTGATGCTATGTGAAGTCTGAGGCTAAGTCATAAAAAGTGATCCAGCACTGCCAGGTTCTCCCGGGGTACTCACTGTTGGAACTCAGCTGCTATATTGTGAGGAAACTCAGGCCACATGGAGAGGCCACATATAGGTGCTGTGGTCAATAGCCCTAACTGATCTACTTCAAAAGGAAACACTGAAAAATTACTAGACGTGAAGAAGAAGATCATATGATTCATAACTAAGTGAAAAAACTGACAATAGAAAAAGACCATGGATGATCCAGATATTGGAGTTGTTAGACAGGGATTTTAAGCTAACTATGATTAATGTGTTAAATAAAATAAATAAAATGATTGACAAAAAAATGAAATGATGGAGAATTTTATCATAGAATTGAAATCTATGAATAAGAATCAAATGCATATCCTAGAACTAAACAATGCAATATCTGAAATTAGGAACTAAATGGATGAGTTTAGCAGTAGATTGGACAGTGAAGAATACAGGCTTATGAGTGAAACTGAAGAAAGGTCAATAGAAAACATAAAAACTTAAGCACATACAGAAAAAACTCAAACAATAGCATAGAAATCATGTGGAGCACAAGCAAAAGCTCTAATATACGTATAATTGGGGTTCCAGAGGGGGAGGAGAGAGATAATGGGAAAGAAGCAATATTTTAAGAGATAATAGTTGTGAAATGTCCCAAACTATTGAAAGACATCAACCCACAGATTCAGTAAGCATTATACCTCCAGACAGGTTAAGAATGGAACAGTGGAGATAAAAAGAATTTTCTACAAGCTTCCAAAGGTTAAAATAACAGATCACACTCAAAGAATTAATAAGAGTGGCATTAGAATTCTAAATAGCAACAGCAGAAACTTGAATATGATGTGCACTTCCCTAAAAAGTCTGAGAGAAAACTATTTCCTACCTAGAATTCTATGCCCAGGCAAAATATCAATCAAGTGCAAGGGTAAAATAAAGATATTTTCAAACATACACTTTTAAAAAATATACATACATACCATCTCTTTAACTCTTTTCCAGGAAGTGATTGGGGGATGTTCTCCATCAAAATGAGGGAAGAAACCAAGAAAAAGATGACTTTGGGTTTTAGAAACAGAGAATCAAACAAAAGGAGAAGTTAGGTGCTTGGGCCATCATCTCACCTCATCTGACATGGCTTCCATCTCCTGGAGTTTGGCAATGAGCTGGTTCATGCTACCTCGGAGGTCCTGGATTTCTCCAGTGTGATGTCGCACCTTCTCCTGATATATCCTTCTCCGGAAGGAGTGAGAACATGGACTGAATGAGTTGTGTTACTATTATTATCACCCTCAGTTTTGCCATTTGCCAGTCAGCTCTCAAAGAACTAGCATTATATTTTTCCACTCTCTTGGGCTCATCCTTGGACCCACCCAGCAGATTTTTTTCTCCAAAACATTATTCATTTTCTTTCTTGCACCTCATATATCTTTAAGCCCAGCTCATTACTTCCAAATTTTCACATTTTGTCTGCAATTAAGGATGCTTCCACCAAGTGGTGTCTTATTGATTGAAATTTCTCTCCAGCTATCATTTTCTGAGCACTGACTATGCAGCAAGAACTTTTCAAACATTTTGCATCTTCTTTAAAGCCTGTAATTACCCAGAGCAAAGTGAATGTAATGCCCCATCTAATAAATGAGTCTAAGGCCCAGAGAGGTGAAGTGACTTGCATAAAGTCAGTCAGGTAGAAATGAACTGGGGAATGAGCTGGGAAATGAATCAGGTTGGACTGGCCCTAGAGCCTACATTCTTAGCCAATACATCTCAGATCCTTACTCTAGCTCCAGTTTTTACTCTACCTCTAGTAACAGGACCACTCAGCAGATTCCTCTTACCTCAAGTTTTGCAGTGGACCATTTATATTTTCATCCTGGTGGGGTGTTGAGAAAAGCAAGGAAACTCCTTCAGATGGCCTAATCTGGGCCCAGTAAAGCTTCCTCCATCTATAAATCCTTCTATCCACTCACCTTATCATGTGCTCTCTTATCCATCCATCCATTCATCCATCCATGTAGCCTTGCATCCATCCATCCAGCAATCCATCACCGATCCATCCATCCATTTATCCTATCATCCATTCATTCTCATTCATCTATTCATCCTCCATCCACTCATCCATCTATCATTCATCCACATACACACCCTCCCCCATCCATTTACCCTACTATGTATTCATTCTTCCCCATCCATCCATTCTCTCATCCAATCATCTACCCTCTCATTAATTCACTTCCTCATGCATCCACACTCCTATTCATTCATCCATCAATCAATTTTCCATCCATTTCCTCTGTCCCTCTATCCATCACATCCCCTCTCCCATTCCAACCATCCACCCACCCATCCATCCTCCCTACATTCACAGTTTTATCTGGCCATAGTCATTCACCATGGGTCAATGAAAACTCTGTGCCTGGCCCTCAGCTGGACATTCCTGGGACAAATTAGATTTGGTGCCTACTTTCAAGGAACTGCCAGACTAGTTGGGGACAGTCATTATTACAGAAAATTGCATTCATGATTAGAAGAAGTTGTGGGAGGAGTGAGGGGGATGTGACCACCTCTTCCTGGGTGCTTTTGGAAAAATGACATTTTAGCTGGCTTTGAAGGATGTAAAGGAATTCATCAGTAGAGAAAAGGAGAGGAGGGACAGGTCCTCCAGATTGTCTTTCCCTATAATCTCCCAAGACTTTTTGCTGTTCTCAGACAGGGAACTCTGGCCACTGAGTTTCTCCTCCTTTCTTTCCAGAAATCACAATGCCTATGGTTTCATATTATTTGAAATATGTTCCTTGTCCTCATCATCCTAATTAGGTGAGGAACTTGGGAAAGGAGAAATGGGTCAGCTCCGGGGGTGGGGGACAGAAAAGGCATCTAGTCCTTAACATTTATTTATTTATTTATTTTCACAGAAGCGATGAGCCTCTAGGGTGGGTGACTTGGCCAAAGTGGAGGTTTGGAGCAGGGGTCAGATGTGAGAATGAGGAGAGCCATAGAGGTGACATTGACTGTTTGGGTTGGAACCAGTCAGCAATGGGGCCTGAACAAGACATACACTCACCTGCCAGATTTCCATTTTTGTTGGTAAATGTATAGAAAACACCCAGAATCCTGTGAGATCATGAGAATGAGAATGAGCTATTTAATGTGGAAAGTTAAGGCATTTGAGTTCAAATCCCAGCTTTGCCACTTACTTGAATTGTGCAAATTTGGGGAATTTATTTAATTCTCTACACCTCAGTTTCCACCTCTGTAAAATGGTAATAACAGTAGTATCCACTTCATTATTTAATGAGGCCTTATATAATAAACATCTCACATAAACCAAACTAAGAAGATCTCCCTTCTACTCACCTATGCTATCCTAATCATCTCCTTGCATTTCACGTGCAGGAGCTCTGATGACGCCAAGCCTGAGGCATTTGACTACTAACTAGAAGGTTGGTGGTTCAAACCCACCAGCTGCTCTGCAGAAGGGACTTGCGGTAATCTACTTCTGTAAAGATTTAACACCTTAGAAACCCAATGGGGGTCACTGTGAATTGGAATTGACTCGATGGCAGTGGGTTTGGTTTTGATGCGTGGTAGCTGAAATTCCTCTATTCAAATCACTGTTTAACAACTTCTAAAACTTATTTTTTGTTTGTGATAAAAACAGTAAACAAACTAGAAATAGAAGGGAACTTCTTCAACCTGATAAAGGTCATCTACCAAAAAACCCACAACCCACATCATACTTAAGCATTCAGTGAATGCTTTCTCCAAAGACCAGGAACAAGACAAGGCTTTGTTCTTTACCATTTTCTATTTAATATTGTACTGAAGGTCTTGGTTTTGTTATTAGGTTCTGTCAAGTTCAGTTTTGACTCATAGCACCTCTATGTGACAGAGTAAAGTTGCCCCATAAGGTTTTCAAGGCCGTAATCTTTATAGGAATAGATCACCAAGTCTTTCTCCTAGGGAGGCGCTGAATGGATTTGAACCACTAACCTCACATCAGCTGAACTCTTAACCTTTGCATCACCATGGTGCCTTCTGGAGGTCCTAGCCAGATTGGGTTGCATTTGTTGGCTTAAAGCAGAAATAAATGCATTCAGATTGGACAGGAAGGAATGAAACCATTTCTATTTGCAGATTATATGATCTTGTATTTATAATCCAAAGATGTCTATACACACATGCACACACATACACACTCAGAAACTAAACATTAGACTGATAATTAAGTTCAGCAAGATTGTAGCATATACGATCAATATGCAATAAACAACTGTGTTTCTATATGCTAGCAATAATCAATCTGAAAATGAAATAAAAAAAAATTCCATTTACCATAGCATAAAAAAAAATACTTAGGAACAAATTCAACAAAATAAGTAAAAAGCTTTTACTCTGAAAACTACAAAATCTTTGAAAGAAATTAATGAAGACATACAGAGAGTTATAAATAAAGGAAACACATCCATGTTTAGGAACTGGAAGACTTAATATTGTTTAGATGACAATGCTCTCTTACTTGCCCTACAGATTCAATGCAATCTCTATAAAAAATCCTAGCTGTTCTCTTTGCAGAAACTGACAGCAAAACTTATAGGGAAATACAAGGGACCTACTATAGCCAAAACAATCTTGGAAAAGAATAAATTTGGAAGACTTACACTTTTCAGTTCCAAAATTGCTGCAAAGCTACTGTTTTGTAATCAAAACAGTAGTTTCAGCATAAAATTTGACAGGTAGATGAATGGAATAGGACAAATTCCAGAAATAAACCAAAATATCTATCAACTGATTTTTGACAACAATTCAATTGGGGAAATAATAGTCTTTCCAACAAATAGTGGTGGGACAACTGGATAGCCACATGCAAAAGAATGAACTTGAGCCCTACCTCACATCATTCATGAAAACTTACTCACAATGGATCATAAACCTAAACATAAAAGCCAAAACTATAAAGCTCTAGAAGAAGGCATAAGGCTAAATCTTTGTGACCTTAGACTAGGCAATGATTTCTTGGATAAGTGTGTGCGCATGTGCATGTGCGTGCACACACGCAAACATAGATAAAGTGGATTTCACCAACATTAAAAACTTTTGTGCTTCAAAGGACACCTCAAGAAAGTGAAAAGATAACCCATAGAATGGGAGAAAATATTAGCAAATTGTATCTCTGATAAGGAATTTGCGTCCCAAATAAGAACTCTTACAACTCAGCAGTAATAAATAAAATAGTAACAAAAAGACATATATCTCAATCAAAAATGGACAAATGATCTGAATAGAGCTTTCTCCAAAGATATACAAATGAGCATTAAGCATACGAAAAGATGCTCAGCATCACTAATCACTAGGGAAATGCAAATCAAAATCACAATAAGATACTCTTTCATACCTGTGAGAATGGCTATAATAAAAAGGATAATGACAAGTGTTGGTGAGGTTGTGGAGAAACTAGAACCCTCCTGCATTGCTGGTAGGACTGTAAAAATGGTGCAGCCACTTTGAAAAAGTTTGGCAAGTCCTCAACTAGTGAAACCCAGAATTACCATATGACCCAGAGATTTTACTCCTAGTTATGTATCCATGAGAATTGAAAATGTTTGTCCACATAAAAAAACATACACAGGAGTTTCATAGCAGCATTATTCATAATAGCTAAAAAGTGGACATGCTCAAATATCTATCAATTGATAAACAGATAACAAAACGTGGCACAGCCATAAAATGGAATGCTTTTGCTACAAAAATTAATGAAGGACTGATACAAGCTATGGCATGGACGAACTTTGAAAACATTATGCTAAGTAAAAGAGGCCAAGAACAAAAGACTACATTGTTTTGTTCCATTTTTTAAAAAATGTTCAGAATAGGCACATCTATAGCTCTGGGGGCATAATGCCTAAGGCACTTGACTGCTAACCAGAAGGCTGACAGTTCAAACCCACCAGCCACTCCTCAGAAGGAAGACTGGGCGATCCAGTTCCGTAGAGACATGGCCTCAGAAGCCCAAGGAGGAGTCATTATGAGTTGGATTCGACTCAATGGTAGTGAGTTGTTTTTTTTTGTTGTTGTTGTTGGGTCAAAGCATAAAAGTTTGCTGGACTCATTGTTCATTATCCTATGTGGAGCAGATCTGTCTCCCCCCACCCTCAGGCCAGGATACTTGAATGGAGGTGGAAGGAGATTCCTTTGCTTGAGAGAGAAAAGCTGTGAGGTGGGAGGTGGTAATGGTATTTAGAAAGAGGCCACGGGAAACTCAGAAAGTGAGGGTGATAATTATCATAACGTGGCGTGGGGAGAGCTTTACAGTTTCCAAAGCACTTTTTCGTTTTCAGGAAATGTTCTTGGTCATCATCACATTTAATCTGCAAAGCAACACCCATTAGACAGATGGGGAAACTGAGGCTCATAGAGGGGCAGTGTCTTGCAGAGTGTCACATAACTAGCCAGTGCTAGGGCTCTTGCCCTCCTTGCACTGGGCTTGAACCCAAGGGTACCTTCCTCAGTCATTGACTTGGGAATGGGCAGGCCCTGGGTACTCACCGAACACGCAGAGGAACAGAATGCCTGTCTTCTCCATGAGCTTCTGGAAGACAAGCTTGCACCTGGAAAACAAAGAAACTGCAGTCAAGAGGAGGCAGGGTTTTACATAGGCTGGCAAGACTTGGCCTGGTCCTTGCCCCTTTCTCAGACTGGGGGACAGGTCCCTATTTGGGCAGCCACACCCTCTCCAAGATGCTGACCACATTCCATGGCTCCCTAGTGCCCCAGAGGAAAGAAAGCTCATACTCCAGCATTTTAAGCCATCACAGCTGAACTCGCGATGTTTGCTCTCTTCTTCACACCCTTTCTCCATCTATGTGCTACTTGTCTCCTTCCCTTCTTCTCTCTGTGAAATCATCTTTTAGGGTTCAGTTCTACTGCCCTTCCTCCTAGCACTGTGAGTTTTGGCATCTCCTCTCCCACCCAACTGGGAGGTCATGAGTAGTGGGGGCCATGGCTGGGCCCAAGGCAGGCATTCAGGAAACAGTTAAATTTTAAACTTTAAGAATGAATGAAGTGGACAACTCTGCAGGAATTCAGAAGGATTTACATGGGCAGGAAGGATAAAGAGAAGGGATGGAATGGGCATTCTGGGGAGGAAGAATGTGTGCAAAGGTGTGGGCAGTGGGATGGTGTATCCAGTGGGTCCACCCAAGGGTAGGAGGGGAAGAGTGGGGCACAGAAAGCTGCAAGCTAAGGAGCTGGAGCAATGGGAGCTGAGTTGGTGGAACCTGATGAAAGGCAACAAAACAAAACAAAACCCACTGCCATCAAGTCTACTGTGACTCAGAGAGATGAAAGCCAAGGGGAGGTCTAAAGCAATGGGAGCCGCCATGTCCCTACTGTCTGTTCCCAGCCCCCATCACCCTCCTTCACCTGCCCTTACTTACCTGCAGGTGTTGAACAGCACGCGGTAGGCCCGAGTCCTCAGGAAACAGGCCAGGCAGGTGATCCAGGCTGCTGAGGAGACAGGAGAGCAGTGAGCAGGCACCTTCTCATCCTTATCCCTGTACAAGAACTCACTAACTGTCCTGGGCCGGGGGGATATCCTAGAGTTGGGAGACCCTCTGCACTTGCTGGTTGAGCCTGGGACAGTCCTTAGCTCTGCTTATGGGTAGGTGCCAGTGTGGAATGAGAACAGGTCCTGTAGATGAGCAATGTTTCCAGTTCACAGTTAATAGGTAATTAATAATGACTCAGGAGCATGAAAGTCTGGGCTGTACAATGCCCATTCCCTCAGATACTAGGAGCTTCTCAAGGGTGGGATCCTTATCTGATTCATCCTTGGGTGCACAGAATTGCTCAGCACGGGGCCAGACAAAGATAAGCATTCAGAATTATTTGTTGAAAGTATGAATAGATGAAAGAAAGATTGGCTGTAGGAATGGATAGGGTGTGGATGGATGGATGGGTAGGTGAGAGAATGCATGGATGGATGGCAGAATGGATGAGAGAATGGCTGGATGGCTGATTTGGAAGATGGATGAATAGGAGAATGAATGAAGGGATGGGAGAATGAGAGGATGGATGGGTGGATAAAGGAAAGGTTGAGTTGATGCCTGGATGGATTAACAAATAAATGTATGAGTGAATTGATGGATGACTCCATGGATGGATGGGTGAGCAAACGGGATACATGGACATTACTACAAAAGGAGAGTTGGATAAATGACTGAGTGGATGAGTAAGTGAATGGGTGGGAAGTGAGTGTGTAAGTAGTTGAACAGATCTCTGAAGTGAGGATGAGTTGCATCCAACCATCCCCATGACTTCACCTTTGCATGCTGTCCCAATGGCCAGGATGGAGGCACAGTAGGGAGGGCTGGCAATGAACTCCTCCTTTAATCAGCCAATCTCCCTCCTATTCCCTCTGTCCAACTGCCAAAGAGATCCTAGCTGGAATGGCACTTCTGATGGGGAGACCCTCAGAGGCCAACTGTCTCTACTACTACCCCAGCATAGACCTTACCCCCTGGGTCAGCTGGCCTGAGGCTGGACCCTCCCCACAGGCCCAAGTGGGTGACCAAGGTGGCTCTTCAGAATATACGTACACATAAATCCTAGCATGCATTGAGACAGGCCTGGAGCACTGATGTGGGCAGGTAACAGGAAGGATTCAGGATCTGTGGAGATCACAGGGGCTTTCATGTCACTGCTCTGTGGAGACCACAGGGGCTTTCATGTTACTATAAGCTTCTGGGACTTGGTGCTTGGTGCCCAGATCTTGGTGTGCACCCCTTCCCCTCTGCTCCCCCTTTGTTGGGTGGCCTCAGGTTGCCTGTTTGAATCTCTGAGCCCCAGCCTCTTAGCTGCCCATGAAGACCCCAGGGCTCCCCTCCCCCTCCCTGCTTACTCATGCTTGGCAAGGGCTCTTCTGTCATCCTGCAGGGATTCCGACCTCGTTGGTTGGTCCTGGGGGTGATAAGATGTGCAATCACATTTTACAAGTTATAAGGAAAGTGGGTTGGTGTCCCCACATTTCAGATGGAAAGACTGACTTGCAGAGGGATTTGTCTAAGACCACTAGTTTGTGGGTGGTCAGAACCAGAGAGAGACTCAGGTCTGGTTGACCTTAAATCCATGTCTCTTTTGAAGAAAGAGCACAGTCATCTGACTCAGTTTACTGTGACAGTCGCAGGTGGTTGTCACCCCAAATGCCACCATCTCCTCTTGCTGGCAGAAGCCTGATTCTGTTGCCTTGTCCAATCCTACCCAATGTGATTCTAGACAATCATGACTGGTCTAAGTTTACTGTAGTACTCCAAAAGATGGAACATGGGGAAAAGTTTTCTCATTGTTAAAAAGACATGTATGAGAAGTAACGTCCACTCTCCTTCCACTCTATGCAGTCATGTTTCAATATGGCACCTGAGTCTGCGGTAGCCCGCTTGTGACCATGAGAGGAGGCATAATAAAAAGAGCAAGAGAATGGCAGGAAACGGGTCATGGATGGCATTGAAGAACAATAGAAACCACATGCTCTGGAGCCAAATACATCTTGGGACCTCTTGGTATGTGGGATAACTTTTCTTGATTTCTCCACTTTTTATAATACCTCACTGCCGTAGAGTCAAAACCGATTCATAGCAACCCTGTAGGACAGAGTAGACCTGCCTCATAGTGTTTTCCAAGACTGTAATATTTATGGAAGTTGACTGCCACATCTTCCTCCTGAGGAATGGCTAGTGGGTTCAAACCACCGACTTTTTGTTAGCAACTGAGTGCCCTGACCACTGTGCCACTAGGGCTTATTACTTTTTATTATGCCCTCAATGTATTTATGTTTATTTTAAAGAATTATATATGCCCCATTGTGATAATATATCATTTACCCTTCTCTAATGTATAAATTTATTTGTACATTCCCAAGAAATATACATTAAAAAAGAGGATGAGCTAGAAAGATATACATTGAATTTCTAATAATGTTTTCCCTTGTCCCAGTGTATTGTTTTGTACACTCCTTGGGATATACACCTTCTTTTTGGGGCCCAGAGGTAGGCATCAATTTAAATTAGAATCTCTGTCACTTGCAACCAGAGACCTTCTGACAGATACCGATGGCAATTGAGTGTCTGTCTCCCTCACTAGAGTGTGAGCTCCATGAGTTCCATGAGCATGTCCATGTACTCTGAGCACGGCCTGGCACATAGTAGGTGCTCAACAAACACATGCTGGAAGCATGACTACTCTGCTGCTTTTTAGCTGGGAGACTTTGAGACAGTTACTGCCAGACCTCTGTGACCTCAGTTGCTGCATCTGTAAAATGCAATTGATGGTGCCAGCTCACCTCCAAGGAGAGGACAGAGAGGCAGCATTATTGTAGACTGTAAAGCATTGGGAAAATGGAGGGGCTGCTGTCCTCACCTCCTGGGCCTGGCATCCCTGGCACCGTGGGTGAGGTCTTCGGGTAAGGCACCCGAGTCCCTGGGATTCCTTGGGGACCGTGGCATTGATTTCCTTCTCTAGGATTGAGGAATGGAGGTGGAGGTTCTCTGGGAGTAGGCAAGGAGGAAGTGGCTGCTGCTGCCGCCTCCAAGGCTTCTCTGGAAGATGCCATGGGGCGTCTGCCTGGGGTGTGTGGTGCTGCCAGCACTGTGACCTCACAGAGCAGGTGGGTGGGGACCACAGACCAGCCTCCAGCTTGGCCAGAACCTTTCCTTGGAAAAAGCCTTTGTGACAATATAAAATCTGCCAATTTGACATTTAGTATACCCCGCATCCAGTAAACAGTCACTCCCCATTCCCCCTCTCCCCCGCCCCTATCCAGTGCCAGGAAGTTGATTCTGACTCATGTGACCCCATGTGTGTCATGGTAGAACTGTGCTCCGTAGGGTTTTTGGATTTTTCACAAGGAGATAGATCACCAGGCCTGTCTTCTGAGGTATTTCTGGGTGGGCTTGAACCAGCAACCTCCTGCTAGCAGAGTGTATATTAACTGTTTGCAACACTCAGGGACTCCATTAGTCATTAAAGCAAGCAGTTTGCAATGGGCTGCTTCCTAGAAGTTGGCAGATCGAGCCCACCTAGCAGCTCTATGGGAGAAAGGTCTGCTGAACTGCTTCCATAAGGAACACAGTCAAGAAAGCCCTATGGCAGGTCTACTCATGTTGTATTTGCCGTGAGTCAAAATCTGCACGACAGCAGTGGGCTGGTCTTTTTAGGTTGCACGTGAACTCATTTTGGGATGCAGAGCTGCTGCTGCTTTTTTTTTTTTTTTTCTTCCAATTTTCTTTTATTGTGGCGCAAATACATGAGAAGGAGCATACACTGTCTCAATAATTTCTATGTGGACAATTCAGTCACCTTGAATAATCCTTCAAGTTATGCAGCCATTCTGGTTGTCCTTTTCCAAACTCTTCCACCACCATTAATGTACAATCAACGTCCTCTAAGATGCTGAGCTTCTTATAAACTGGTGCCCTGTTTTGCATAAAATGGAATAATGTTCACACATTGTTGTTTGAATCAAGAGTTTTACTTTTTTGCCTAGGAAAAATAAAAGCAGAAACAGAGTGGAAATGTCCAGCTAAGTTTTTTTTTCTGTTAGCCTTACTTTGTTATTTGGATTGTGAAGCTAAAACAGTCACTTTTGTCTCCTGGTGGCAGTTGTCCAAATTGCAGGCTAAGTACCTGTGTTGTTGTTGTTGTTGTTAGGTGCTGTTGAGTCGTTTCCGACTCATAACGACCCCATGCACAGCAGAATGAAACACCGCCTGATCCTGCATCCTGTGGCAGGCAGAGTAATGGCCTCCTAAAGAGGTCCACGTACTAACCCCTGGAACATGTGACTATGTTAGGTTACATGGCAAGGGGAAATAAAGATTGCAGATGGAACTAAGGCTGATAATCAGCTCACCTTAAAATAGGGAGATTGTTCTATTGGATACATACATTGGGTGGGCCCAATGTAATCACAAAGCTCCTTATAAGTGGAAAAGGGGGGCAGAAGACAGAATGTCAGAGAGATGGCAGCATGAAAAGGATTTGGCCAAATGTTGCTGGCTTTGAAGACGGAGGAGTGAGGCCACAAGGTAAGGAATGTGAGCGGCCACTAAGAGCTAGAAGAGTCAAGGAAATGAATTCTCCCTTAGAGCCTCCAGGAAGGAATGCAACTCTATGACACCTGGATTTTAATCCACTGAGAACCTTTTCAGACGTCTGAGCCCCAAAATTGTAAGATAATAAGTTGCTGTTGGTGGTAAGTGTGTGGTAATTTGTTACAGCAGCAATAGAAAACTAATGTAGTATTTTAGTACCTGAAATGCTGCTGCTGTGATTGTTACAAGGGCCTTTCAATTGTGCATTTATTCGCTCAACAAATATTTATTAGGCACCTGATATTTCCAGGCCACCAATTGTCTGTCTGTCATACGGTGCTGGCTTGCGTGCTGTTGTGATGCTGAAAGCTATGCTGCCAGTATTTAGAATTCCAGCAGGGTCACCCATGATGGACAGCTCTCAGCAGAGCTTCCAGACCAAAACAGGGTAGAAAGAAGACCTGGTGACTACCTCTGAAAAATTGGCCAGTGAAAATCTTACAAGTGGCAGTGGAACATTGATCAAACACGCAATCAAGATGCATTGTGTCCATCCCACTAATGTCCTTCCCAAAGAAAGGAGAATCCAGAGATTATTGAATAATATCATTAACATCACATACAAGTGAGTTTTGCTGAAGGTAATTCAAAAATGGTTGCAGCAATGTATTGACAGAGAACTGCCAGGAATTCAAGTCAGATTCAGAAGAGGATGTGGAATGAGGGATATCATTGCAGATGTTAGCTGGATCTTGGCTGAGAATACCAGAAAGATGTTGTTTACCTTTGCTTTATTGACCATGCAAAGGTGTTTGTGTGGATCTAATAAGTTACATGTGACATTGAGAAGAATGAGAATTCCAGAGCACTTCACTGTGCTCATGAGGAACTGTACATAGACAAAGAGGCAGTTGTTTGAACAAAACAGGGAGATACAGTGTGGTTTAAAATAAGGAAAGTGTGCATAAGAGTTGTATCTTTTCACCATGCTTATTCAATCTGTATGCTGGGCAAATACTCAGAGAAGCTGGAGGAAGATTCATTAACAACCTGCGATATGCAGATGACACAGCCTTGCTTGCTGAAAGTGAAGAGGACTTGAAGTACTTACCGATGAAGATAAAGACTACAGCCTTCAGTATAGACTACACCTCAACATAAAGAAAACAAAAGTCCTCTCAGCTGGACCAACAAGCAACATCATGATAAATGGAGAAAAGATTGAAGTTATCAAGGATTTCGTCTTACTTGGATCCATAGTCAACACCCATGGAAGCAGCAGTCAAGAAATCAAACAACATAGTGCATTGGGCAAATCTGCTCTTTAAAGTGTTAAAAAGCAAAGATGTCACTTTGAGAACTAAGGTGCATCTGACCCAAGCTATGGTATTTTCCAGGGCTTTACACTAGCTCTGGTGGTGTAGTGCCTAAGGCATTTGACTGCTAACCAGAAGGCTGGCAGTTCAAACCCACCAGCCACTCCTAGGAAGGAAGTTTGGGCAATCTATTTCCGTAATGATACCCAAGGAGGGATCACTGTGAGTCGAACATGACTCAACAGCAGTGAGTTTTACACTAGTTTGGGTTTGGGTTTTATACTAGTTTTAACCAGGTCAATCATGGCCAACGAAAAAAAATCAGAACAGGCTCGTTTTTAAAATTTGAGTTCTGATAGCCAGAATGTGAAAAATTATAGGGTGAAGCCCTGGAATGGGAGACGCAGAGGAGGCATAGTGAGGCCTTTAAGAGCCTAACGTGGGAGGCTTTATTATTGACAGGGTTTGGAGAGTGTAACACATTCAAAGCAGTGCAGTTAACCACCATCTTTGAGAGGACACCATTTCTTCCAACTCTGTTGGTCAAGAGACTTGGTTGCTATGCGATCTGCACATTGCCTTTGTTTTCTAACAGAGAGATTAAGTTTCTAAGAGGGCATCAACCCATAATTTTTGCTTTTCCAGTATTGTTCTGATTCACCTACATTTTACAAATTTGCTTCCATTCTGATTTCACTTCATCAGCCATGACTGAACCAGGAAGAACCAATTTGAAGCATTGGTATTTTCAATTGTCTCATATGTATACAAAAGCTGGACAATGAATAAGGAAGACTGAAGAAGAATTGATGCATTTGTATTACAGTGTTGGCAAAGAATATTGCTTATACCATGGACTGGCAGAAGAACAAAAAAGTCTGTCTTGGAAGAAATACAGTCAGTGTGCTCCTTAGAAGTGAGGATGGTGAGACTTCGTCTCATGTACTTTGGACATGTTATTAGGAAAGATCAGTCCCTGGACAAAGACATCATGCGTGGTAAAGCAGCTGTAGAGCAAAAAAGAGGAAGACCTTCAACAAAACAGGTTGACACATTGGCTGTGACAATGAACTCAAACATAGCAATGATTGTGAGGACCAGGCAGTGTTTCAGTCTGTTATACATACAGGGTCACTGTGAGTTGGAACCAATGTGATGGCACCTAGCAACAGGTTTTGAATACAGGGGTGAGCAGAGCCATCACCCTCTCTTGGGGATGGGGTCAAGTGGCTGGCAGAGTGTCTCACATAGAACAGGGCCTTGTCAAATGATTTTTGATGTCACTGTAGAGAGGTTGCTGAGCTCTGGGAACCAGCTGGCGAGAATCTCCCTGCTTTGTGACTATTGGCTGTGCTGGTAACTTGGAGGAAGAGAAAGTGATCATACCACTAGCAAGCACTGTGTGCGACTTTGTTCAATATTTGCAACTCTCTCCACTGAGTCTGCTGTTTGCCTCAGCTATGGTGAAAAGGCAGGAAGGCCTGGTCTTATGTGTTGATGGACAAACCGAGGCTGAAACTAGAATGGATAGGGATGCACAGCTGGTCTTTCTCATTCCTTTTTGCTGTAGAATAAGGGGCAGGGAAGCCCTGACTGGGAAGCAGGGCTGGTCCAGGTGAGTGTTTGATGGGGTCTTTAATCCCTACCAGCTCTGTGGGCACTAATGGGGACCCATCAGAAGATTGACTAAGGGTCTGGGGCTGGTATTTGGGCTGGTGTGGAGTCAGTGGGAGCCACATAGGGCTCTGGAGTGGGGGAAGACCCCTGTATCCCAGGCCAGTCATGAAAAGGAATGGAGTAGATTTTCTCCTGGCTATTCTATCACTCCTTGTGTGTGTGTGTATATATATATATATATATATATATATATATATATATACACTCACAAACATGTACACACACACTAATATCCAGGAAACAGCACATTATACCCACATATATATATTCACCTAACACCATGCACACACAGACACACAAATGCACTCAGTACATCAAGCCCATACATACATCATTGTTGTTAGTTGCCATTGAATTGCCTCTGACTGATGGTGACCTTACGTATAACCATGAAACATTGTCTGGTTCTGTGCCATCTTCATGATCATTGGTACGTTTGGGTCCATTGTCACAGCCTTTGAGGGTTTCCCTCATTTTCACTACTTTATCAAACATGATGTCCTTTTTTAGTGGTTGGTCTTTCTTGAAGATGTGTCCAAAGTAAGTGACCTGAAGTCTCATCACCCTCACTTCTAAGGGGCATTCTGGTTGCATGTCTTCTGAGGTTGATTGTTCATTCTTCTGGCAGTCCACAGTACATTCAATATTCTTTGCCAACCCCACAATTCACACGGATCAGTTCTTCTCCTGTCTTACTTTTTACATGTTGTTGTTAGGTGCCATCATGTTGATTCTGACTCACAGTGACACCTGTGACAGAGTAGAACAACCCCATAGTGTTGTCTATGGCTGTGTATTTATGGGAGCAGATCACTAGGTCTTTCTCCCACAGAGCTGCTGGGTGGGTTTGAACAGCCAACCTTTTAGTTAGCAGTCAAGCGCTTAATTGTTTGTGCCACCAGGGCTCCTTATGTAAAACTCCCCACATCTGGATTCATGTTAGTTTGCATGAACAGGTATGTAACACTATGTACATCAAGTTGTCAACGTGCCCAGTTCTTGTACACTCATACACATGAACACACATTTTCTTCTGCTGCCATAATATGACCTACATACAAGTGTATACATGAATATGCATGCACACCATGCATGTATGTAAATGCATGCATAACCTTTATACACATATACCTGCATATATGAACTGTTTCATGTGCACACATAGTTTCTTGGGCACTATATAGCTCAGGTGGACTCTAGAGTTTGTAGTATGACAGGAGATGATGGGCTCAATATACTGTGAGTGGGCTGTGTGTTTGGAGAGAGGATGAGTTTTAAGCAGTGGAGACTGGCTACCTTGGGTCATCCACATTCTCTTGCTTGTTCTCCTTAAGGATCAATCTGTGTCCAGGGCTAGGAGTCAACCTATGATCAAAATAAGAACTTATCCTATGGCAAAGTACAGGCCTTAATGTGTGACTAGGGTTAGGATTCAGTCTTTTTCTAGGATTAGGATCAAGGCCCAATCAATGACTGGGGTTGGGACTCAAGTAACCTCCTGTCTCCTCTAACAAAGTCATGTTCGGGCAGATCTTGGGGGTACCAGGCCTGAGAGGTCATTGCAGCCCTCCCCTGCCTCTGGGTGCCCTCTTCCTCCTGGGCCTTTGGCTGGGCTGGTCTGTAGTAACAAGGGGACCGTACTGGACACAATCTTCCTTCCAGGGATATCCTGGCCCTTGAGACCCCAAAGCTGCCTAACCCCAGGCTCCTGCAGTGTCTGCCAGCTGGGCCTGGCTACGTGGCAGCCCCACCACACATGTGGGATGAGATACTTTGGCAAAGGCCATGTTTGCAGGGAAAACACTCTCAACCACAAGCAAACCTGCTCCTCCTGGGTCTCTTCCCAGTGGGGCCTGTATCCTGGGGAGCCTCATAAAGGAGCCTCCATACCTGCCCGGGGCAGAGGAGGGCTTGGCTGGGGCAAGGACCATCTGCCTCAGGAATTGTTTGAGGTAAGAATGGGGATGGGGCTGGCACCCCTCCCCAGAGGGGGCCCCGACTGCTCCATCTGATTAGTGGGGAGACTACCACCTTCTATGAAGGGCCCGTCCCTCCAGTGTCTGCTCTTGCTGTGGGACTTTGGGTAAGTGCACCTTTCTGTCCCTTAGTCAGCCCATCTCAGCAGTGGACCCTCATTTCTGCCTGGCTCCCTCTCCCTGGGTTAGACACAGGAGAGCTGCCCACTTGGCTGGGTTGAGTCGGAAGGGGCTGCAGAGCCATGTGAGAGGTTCGCTTTCTGGGACATTTCTCACCCGGCACAGGGTGAGATGGGGATAGGGGCCATTCTATGTCCTCCCCTGGCTGGGGTCGGATAGCTGGGCACCAGCCTGGGCTGTCACACTGGGCCAGGCTCCTCACACCAGGTGACACAGCTCTGGGGCTCGGGGTGGTAGGCCTGGGCTCTCTCCTTGGGACATGAAGTTGCCCTCACCTCCCCACCTGGAAGTCTCTTCATCCTCCTCTGACATGGCTTGGGTTCTTCACCCGGCCCCAGTGTGCTACGTGGTCTTAGACAAGGTCATTTTCAGCCAGATCCCTTGGGGTTCCTGATGAAACAGGGGAGGATGATTAGTCCCAATGCAGAGATGAAAAACTGATTGCCAGGGGGCCTGGGGCAGAGCTGAGACCACCACTTAGGGCTTTCAACCTCCAGGCTGGGGTGACTTTCAAGCATCTGGGGTAGGCCATGCTGGACAAAGTCCATAATGCTTGTCCCCACCCCAGTCCACAGGTCTTCGGGGCAGTGGTCAGAGCAGTCATGGCTCAGGTGTGTGGACTGGGCCTGCCACTGGTGCTGCTGGTGCTGCCCATGGTTGGCACCTCTATGCCGGGCACTGTGGTCAGACTCAACAAGGCTGCACTGAGCTACGGTAAGAGCTGCGCCCCACGCCTCTGTTCTGCATTTGCAAGGACATGCTGTGTGTGTCTGTACATGTGTGTACCATCATAACTGTGCATGTGTATCTATGAACTCAAAAGCTCCACGAGGACAGGGATTTTTGTTTCATCTGCCACCCTGGCATCCAGGCAGTGCCTGACACACAGTACTGCTTGACAAATATTTTGTTGAATGAATGGATGGATGAATGGTTAGATGGTTGAGTGGATGAATGAATGAGTATATGCCATATGTTCAAGGTACACTCACAGTTGTGTTCATGTGTTTTAGTGATGTGGGCATAGGTCAGTAGGAATGGTTATTTTGGCTTGTGTATGTCTGGTTATGGATTTGAAAATTCACAGATATGTGCCTGCCTCTGTGTGAAGAATGGTGGAGAAGGACACGCGCATCTGTGTGCATATGAACGTACGTGGCTGTGTGTAATCACAGGCAGGTGTGTGAATGTCCATGGGTGCATGCCTGGATGCGTGTGCACAGGTGTGACGGTGTACCCTGCATATACAGTGAGCACTTGTCACACAGTAGATGAGAGGGATTCAGGTCAGACAGTAAAAGTGACTTCCGATGGCCCCAGACACCATGAATGAGACAGGGACTCAGGGAAGCAACACAGTCCTCTCCTGGACACACACAACCTTCCAGGACCTCACATCTGGGCAGGTGGGCAGCAATGAAAGGGGCCAGTGATCCTTGCCAGAGCATGAGTGGCACATGGAGCCACGCACGGTTGCCTGCAGGTGGAGAAGACATGGGGGCCTGGCTGCCCCTGGCAGGGCTGCCTGCCACCTGCCTGCCGGCTGCCCATCCCATGTGAGCCTCCTTTGTCCCCACAGAGCCCTCCAGGGCAGGCCTGCCTGTGTTTGTTCTGAGCGGAAATCCGGCAGGATGCCCCTGCCACACGCACCACTTGCAAGGCTGGGTCAAGTGGCTTCTTACCACGTCCTCCCCACCCCACAGGTTGAAGCTCTGTGTCAGAGGAGCACTGTAAAGAGAGTTCAGGGGCCTGAGTGTGAGTTTGAGCACAACTACAGATAGGACAGACAGGGACATTGGGAGCAAGACCACTATCTCTATACTACAATGTCTGGGGAAACTGAGGCCCAGAGAGGGGGAGGGACTTCCCAACATCCCACACTGAGTCTGGGCAGAGTTTGGGTCTCGTGACTCCTAATTCAGTGCTCCCTTCCCGGTACCATGACCTTCCCTTTAAGTTTAATTAGCATCTCCCTGGGGTGCAGCAGCACAGACAAGAGAATGTGTGGACTCTAGAGCCAGGTGCCTTGGTCCAGACCCCACTTTCCCTTGCTGGATTTCTCCACCTCCCTGGAAATTGGGCATTAGTACCTAAGGAGCTCTGCTGGTGCAGTGCCTAAGGCATTTGACTGCTAAACAGAAGGTTGGTGGTTCAAACCCACCAGCCTCTCATCGGCAGGAAGATGGGGCAATCTACTACCATAAAGATTTACAGCCTTGGAAACCCAGTAGGTTTTTCTACATCATAGAATTGTTGTGAGTCAAACGCTCAGTTTAAGGCCTGGTACAAGAGGATAAATGGCAGCCATTCTTATCACAAATATCAATAGCAACAATCATGAAAGACATTTATTGGGTGTTGAGTCTTTATAACGGCCCAATAGGATGGGTACCATTAGCATCATGGCAAATTGACAGATATTTATTTCCTAGGCCTGCCGTAACACAGTACCACTAACTAGATAGTTTAAAACAATAGAAATTTATTCTCTCATAGCTGTGGAGGCCGGAAGTCTGAAATCAAGGAGTTGGCAGGGCCCCACCCCCTCTAAGGCTCTAGGGGAAGATCCTGCTCACCTCTTCCTGCTTCTGGCGCTTGGGGCCATCCCTGGCTTGTAGTTGCACTACCCTGATTTCTGTCCGTCTTCCTATGGCTGTCTTTTCTCTGGATGTCTCTGTCTAAATTTCCCTCTTTTATGGATATCAGTCATTGGATTTAGGGAGCTCTGGTAGCACAGCGCCTAAGGCATCTGACTGCTAACCAGAAAGGTTGGTGGTTCAAACCCACCAGCCACTCTGCGGAAGCAAGACTGAGCAATCTACTTCTGTAAAGATTTACTGCCTTGGAAACCCAATGGGGGTTGCTGCGAGTCAAAATTGACTGGAAGGCAGTGGATTTTTCTAATCCACTATGACCTCATCTGGACTTAATTAATGACATCTGCAGTCCCTATTTCCAAATAAGGTCACCTTCACAGGCTTCTGGGGTTAGGACTTGCACATATCATTTTTGGACACAATTCCACCTGGTACAATGGGGGAGGGTGAGGCATGGAGCAGCCATACCAGCGAGTGGCAGAGTTGGGATTTGCACTCTAGGTGAGGCTGCCCTCCAAGAAGGTGCCTCTGTAGCTGACCAGGCGTGGTTGAGAAATGCTCCTTCTGCTTAGGGACTTCGGGAAGACAGGGGAGGTGGCATCTGATTGGAGCCTTGTAAGAGGGGAAAGGATTTTCTTCTTTTTGAGGCATGGGGCCAGGAAGAAGGATTTTGAGAGGCAGACTTGAGGAAGAAAGGGCCACCTTGCAGAGTGTAAGGGCTGTGAGGAGTCCTCTCTTGTCCCAAGGTGTGGCGCAGAGGGTGGGAGGGTGTGGTCTTGCTTGGTGGCTCCCTAGGGCAGCCTAACCTCACCCTGTTCTGGCCCCACAGTGTCTGAAATCGGGAAAGCTCCTCTCCAGCGGGCCCTGAAGGTCACTCTCCCGTATTTCCTGGACAGGAGTGGAGAGGTGCTCCAGCCCATCAGGTGAGTGGTCCTAACTGCTTGGTGAGTAGTCTTCCTCTCTCTCCCCAGCAACTAGATGAGTGTTCCCCACCAAGTCAGATGCTTCCATCCACCAAGAGAGTGGTCACAAGAGAATTCAAGAGGTGGGGACCCAGGTAGAGAGACATGGATCCGGGTGCCCTGGAATGAGTGTTTCCATCCCCCCACCTCACCCCAGGGCCAAGACTGGATCTTCTGAGGCTCCAGGGCTAGCAGGAGTTGGGACTATTTCCTCCAAAACCTAGAGGCTGAATTTAGGCACAAGTTAGAACTTTTACCCACACATACCCTATAATGCAGAGACTCAAAGGCATCAGTAGGTGATGGTGGGGGAGCATCTCTCATTAATTAATTGGCTCAAGGCCGCAACACAGACTTACTCTTGCTGGATTCAGAGATTTCACAAGAAGCTATACTGCTTAAAATTTAAAACCTACCAAAATTTGAATGATGACAACTAATTAAAACACATTTGAAATCCTGGGTGGGTCAAAAAATTTGTCTGGGAGCTGCAGGTGGCTCAAGGTTCCCCTTAGGTAGGGGCCGGATGATGCTCATAGCATAGCTGATAATGGTGGACAACTGGGAACAGTATGAACACTCAGTGACTGAGGATCTGAAGTGACTCTCTGAGTACACAGCAGGCATCACGTGGCTGATGAAAGCTGGCGCCAACGGTCCCTGTTTGTAGACACACATCGAGGGCTGAAAAGAAGCAGGTTCTAGGCCAGCCTGTGTCCGAGGGGAGTCATGGAAGACGGTCACCAGGTGCTAACAGTACAGCTTGAGGGTGGCCTTGATGTTTTGATTTTAAACTCGATACCATTTTGTAGTATCTGAATTTTTTTTTCTCCAACTGCTATGCAGGGAAGAAAAAAAAAGAGTTTCATTTAGAAAATGAAATCCTAGCTGGAGAGGGCTTAGCAATCAGAACAGGCAGAATTTGAAGGGAGTGAGTTCCTGGTGCTAGGGCATGACAAGCCAAGACTGCTAACTAGAATGCTATGGAGGGGCTTTCTGCCCTCTGTGGACCCCGAGGCCTTCTCTTTTCTGCCTTCCCAGACCCTTTCTTGGATCAGAAACTAAAACTTCCCCACTCCAAGACCTGAGCAACCATCTCACCCAAATCCTGCCCAATGCTGGCTTCCCCTCTGCATCTCTTCCCTAACCAGCTGTTTGTCCAACCTTGGCTCACCTGCCCCCTGTGATGGAGAACTCAGTACCACTCCATCACCTTGTGGTTCCAATAATTAGAAAATCTTTGCAGCATCCACCATGTGGGTATGGCACAGAGCTGGTTCCATGGTTTAATGGGAGCAACATTATAACCTCAGTCCTCCCTCTGCCCCCAACCTCCCTCAGGATCCAGATTCTGAATGTCCACGTACTTCACTTCCATCTGAAATTCATTGCTGATTTTGGGGTACGCTTACTGGGAGCATCCAAATTTGATTTCAAGGTCTTTCGGTAAGTGCGTCTTCTTGTTGGTGGCAAAGGGGAGGAGCTTCAGGGATGCTCTGAGGACCAGAGTGATGGGACAGGGTTCATCAACTCTTCTAGGACCTGCACCCACATCTTTTGACAATTTGTCTAGTGTTCCCCCAACTCCCACCATCACCCTTTGAAGGGAAGTGAGATAATGAGAGAGTTTCTGAGAATCTGGACACTGCTCAACAGTTGTGCAACTGAGTGGAATCACTTCACTTCTCTAAGTCTCAGTTCCCTCATCTGTAAAATGGGACGCCATCTTGCCAGGTGGCTAAGAAGGTTGTAGTGAATGGATTCATTGCTGTAGTCATAATTATTGTCTCTCTTTTTACAGTGCAAATAACACAGTAGGTACTCAATACCTGTAGTAATTAGAATTATTTCTGTGCATGAAACACTTCATATGTTAATGGCTTTTGTGATGTACCAAAAATGAAAGTCACTGCCATAGAGTCGGTCCCGACTCTTAGTGACCCCTCCTTGGGTTTCTGAAGTGGTAGATTGCCTAATCTTCCTTTTAAGGAGTGGCTGGAGGTTTGAACCCCCAGCCTTCTGGTTAGCAGTCAAATGCCTTAAGCACTATGCCACCAATATTATAGGGCTCTATTGATCAGAATGACCAATCACACCACTCACTGGTGTGGTCGCAGGCTTTTATTGCCTCCAGTAACCAGGATGATGATAAATGGAGCAGGGTTTCTCAAGAGCCATGTTCTCTCACAAGGCTCCTATCCCAGGGTGAGATGCTTTGTTACTTCCATGCATGCCCCTCAATGTGCCATGGGTAAGAGAACAGAGAGGAACTTGAACTTGGGCCTTGGGCTCATGTAGATAAACCAGGGGGTGTACATGCTGGGCTTCACGGAAGCAAGAGGAAGGAGGGAATGAGAGGAAGGTGCCGTTGTTTAGGTGCAGGTAGCATAACATTCCCATGACCAGGAAGGAACTTTGTTCAAGAGCAAACAATGTGGCCATCCTGGGACCAGTTTCCCCATTAGCTGGACGGTTAATTCTGTATAATCAGGTAGTTATAGGTAGTCATAGAGACAGAGAAAGTCAATGTAAACTCAGAACACGGTTCCGACAAGGAGAAGAAACTGGACGAGTGAGACCCAATGCCTGTCCTCCTTATCAGAGAAAGCTCTGAGTCCAAGGCCTCAGCTTAGGCAGCGTAGACGGAAAGTATAAAGGCAGAGTGCCTCCTAGCAGCATTTAATCTTCAGACTATGAGCTGGCCATTTTAATTGTGACTTAGGTGAAAGTTTACAGAGCAAATTTGCTTTCCATACAGCAGCTCACACACACCTTGTCTCATGACATTGACTGCAATTTCCCATAATGCAACAGTTCTCCTCCTACTTCTTCCCCATAGTTACCTCTTCCCTGTGTCCCTCCCTCCCATGCACTCCTGCCCCCCTGAGCTGTCTCCCTGTGCATACACAGCCCTTCTATTCTCCCATGATTGATCTCTTCAAGAAGTGTATCTACTTAATGTAAATGTTCAGCTCATATGCCTGTCCTCTGCCTGGCTGGAAGCCACAGGAATGGGTTCAATTCCAGACCTGAAGGGCAGCCAGGGGCCATAGTCCTAGGCAGAGAAGTCTCTTATCGTAACTGCTCTGTCCTGATGCTAAAAGGAGCTCCAGTGGTATGGTGGTTAAGGTATTTGGCTGTTAACCTAAAGGTCAGTAGTTCAAACCCACCAGCTGGTGCGTGGTAGGACAATAAGACAGCTTGCTTCTGTAAAGATTTACAGCCTTGGTAACCCAATGGGAGTTGCTCTGAGTTAGAACTGACCGATGGCAGTGAGTTTGGTTTGGCCCTGACACTATTGTTTTATAAGAGCTTACTGTGACCAGGCTCTGACCTGGGTATTTTTACATGACTATCTCACTGAAAACTCAGCATAGCCTTATCAGATAGGTGCTACCAATCTTATGGCCATTTTACAGAAGAGGAGAAACTAAGGCTGAGAGGAATGACAGACCCAGGGTCTCACAGTGAGACTGTGGGGAGATGCAGCTCATACCAGTCTGCTGCAGTGTCTTGGCCCTGAGTGGAGTTAGGAGGCCCTGGACCTGCCCAGAGGGAGTTCTGGTGGTGCAGTGCCTAAGGCATTTGCCTGCTAACCAGAGGGTTGGCGATTCAAACCCACCAGCCACCCTGCAGAAGGAAATCCGTAAAGATTTACCGCCTTGGAAACCCAGTGAAGGTTGCAATGAGTCGGAATTAACTCAACGGCAGTGAGTTTGGTGGTTTTTTTTGTTTGTTTGTTTTTGTTTTTTGGACCTGTCCTAGGTGGGGCCATCTCATGCTGAGTGGGGATCTATATCAAGAAGAGAGTAGGTCTGAGGGGATTTGCAGGATCTTGTGACAGCCAGGTGGGGTGATGTCTAAGGGGCTGAGGACTGGCTTCCCTGCAGGGTCCCAGAGCCCTTGGAACTGACAATGCCCGTGGTACTGCTGGCTGATGTGCGTGTGGCCCAGGGTCCCATCCAGACCCCCATGGTCAGCATCTCTGCTTGCTCCTCATTTTTTGGCAATATCAGCACACTTGATGGCAGCAACAGGTGGGTGCCTATGGAGGGCTGGGCTGTGGGCTCCTGGTTGGTGGTTTGCACTCAAGACTTCATTCAACAGGCCTCAGAGACCCCCACTATTGTGGCTGTTTTATGGCTGAGGACACTGAGACTCAGAGCATGGAAGGGACTAGACCAAGGTCATACAGTGAACAAGCTGCCAGAGCCCGTATTCTCTCCACCACCCCACACCATGTGACAATGTGCTCTCATCCACTGACAGTACACTTTGAACTGAGGGATTCTGGTAGACTGGACCAGGCTGGCTGTTAGGGACCTCAAAGGGCTCTGCCTCCTGCTGGCCAAGATGGGGAATCTGAAGCCAGGGAGTGGGGTCTGGCCAAGCTCTCACAGGGAGTCTCCTAGCCATTCATGGCCTCTTCTAATGCTGAAAGCAACTCCCACTTCCAGAGTGCCTGCTGGGTGCTAGACCCTTTACACAGATCCTCTCATTTCATCCTCACACTAGTCCTACTGGGCAGATAGGATTATTCCCCCTTTTTGTAGAAGAACAGGCTGAGTCACAGAGAAGTTCAGTCCTGGTGGAGCCAGGATTCAAACCTCGACAAACTGCCTAATCCCATTGCTTGCCAACACCCCTATATTAGGTTACACCTTCCTGATTACGGGATGGGGAGTGGACACTGTAAGTAAGGTGGGCGAGCATTTAGGAGGCTTAAAAGAATTCAAAGTTTGCACAAAGACTGCACTTGTTCCCCATCAAGGGTTGTCTGGGTTTAAGTCCATTCAAGTTTGTGCCTGGTGATCATGCTGTTCAACTCAGGACCCTCATGGTCCTCATGGGAGCCTGCTCATGGGAGCCTGCTTGAAGCCATTCCCTCCCTTCCCCCAGGAGTTGATTCCATGAGTCTGGGCTGTGGTTAGGATCAGCACTTTAGCAAACCAAGATTCAGAGGGTTCCTATGGGCTGCTATTGAGAAACACAGGCTTAGACCCATCTCTCGTTCAGAGGGAAAACTGAGGCCCAGAGAGGGGGAGGGACTTTGCTATGAATGTCACAGAGACTTGGAGCCCAGGCTGGAAGCAGGCCCCCAGGTCTCATCTCCACCAACTACTTCACTGGGTTCAGAGTGACCATGACACCAGCCGGCAGAGGACAGGGCTGAGGCAGATGTTAGCAGCACTCTCACTGCTTCCTTCCAAGCCTGGCCTCATGTACCACATTCTTGGCTCCTTGCAAAACCTTGGGGCAAATGATCTTCTTCATGGGGACTTGGTTTCCTCATCTGCGAGATGAGACATGCATGATGTTGGCACCATGTCTGACACAAGGCTGGGTATCAAATGCGGATCACTGGTTTCTGGCTGGGGGTAGAGACTTTTCTCCCAGACTTGTGTCTTTCCTGAGGGACAGGACTTGATGCCTGTGACCCTGGGGACTCAGGAACCCTTTCTATGTCTCTTCCCTAGCTCCTCCCCTGCACTGCTGGTCCTCTTGCAGAAGCACATTAAAGATGTCTTGAGGAACAAGGTAAAGAACTTCTTGGTATGGCGTCTCTGGAGGGAGGGCCCAGAACACAAGGTGAATGTTTGGTGGGATTTTAGGTGGGGGTGGGGAGGCTTTTTTTTTTTTTTTAAGTAGAGTGTCCTTTTGGGGGTCTTCTTCAATGCCCCCATGAGGACAGTGGGGAGGTTGGTGCAATGGTCCAGAGGTTTGATGGAGGGACCCAAACAGGGGCTGTGCCTGTGGGACTGGAGGGGAGGTCCAGCTCCCAATTCTATGCCAGAGGGAAAAGAGGGGAGAGTCCTTTCAGGGCCCGTGTGCCTTGTGGAAAGGGGACAAAATACGAAATAAGAACAGGCAAAGGCAAGGCGCTGGAGCCAGATGTGGCCTGATTTTGAATCCTGATTCTCCTCCTTTCCAGCTGTGTATTTTGGACAAGTTACTTTACCTCTCTGTGCCTTTGATTCCACAGTACCTCCCTCGTGGGATTGGTGCAGGGATTAAATAAACAAATACTTATGAAGAGTTTAGAACTGTGTTTGATGGAGTGAGTGCTGTTGTTCTTATTATTTTAGCACTTGTCATTATCTGGGTCCTACTGCCTAAGGTGCTCCATTCTTCCTCCCTGCCACCCAATCCCACCCCCATTTCCCTTTAAGGGGCAGTAACAGAGGCCAAATCAAGCCACTGTGTGCCATCCTACAGTACCTGTGTGCATCCTGTGTGTGTCTGGGGGTGGGGGCTCAGAATTCCCATCTTGCAGATGAGCAAGCTGAGGCTTGGAGGGGGAAGGTGGGTCTAGAGAGTCCTACAGGTGGCCCAAGGGCCCATTGCCCCTGCCTGTTGGCTTGCTATGCCATCTCCCTGCTCCCTTCACACCAACCTCTTATGGTTAAGGGGCTGCAGGGCAGCTCTGCAGGAGGGGAGGCCTGCCCTCTGCTCTGCCTCCTGGCCTCACCTCGCCCAGCCTCATCAGCTCTTGCTGCACCAGACTGTGACTGTCCTCCCGCCTTTTTGTATCTCCTCTGTCCCCCGGCCTTTTGGCATCTCCTCTGCCCCCATCTCCCATCATGCTGATTACGTGGCTACCCAAGCTTAATAGTCTTCTCTACTGTTCACTGTGCCCGGGAGGACCTCCATCAGAAGCCCGGCCTCTCTGGCCTTGTTGACCACACCCACCATGGGCACTACCCTTTCAGCAGCTGACCCTCTGGGTCCTGAAGCAGCAAGCTCACTGCTTCATCCCCTGGGCCCCAGCTCATGGTTACTGCTGCTGTGCTTCACAGCCCCGTTCTTTCCTCAACAACCAGGGCCACCTTATCTCACTGGCGTTTGGGCTGCTTCTTCTCTGTCTCTTCAGTGTCCTTAGTAGGTGCCGGGAGATGCCCCCAGAGTGGGAGGAGAAGGAAGGGATTCCAGGCCATTGTGTGTGTGTGTGTGTGTATGTGTGAGGTTTCCAGACAGGGATCCTGGGCCTCCTCCAGCCCCAAGCAGCCTAACCTCAGGCTTTTTCTCTCTTTCTTGTCCAGCTGTGCCTGAGCATCTCCAACCTGGTGCAGGCCCTCAATGTCCACTTGGGCACTTTAATTGGTAAGAGCTGGGAGGCCAATGGGAGGGAGGTCAAAGACTCTGGGAGCTCGACAGCACAATGACTGAATTAGGTGGGCTCCTAAAACTACACAATTTGTCATGGAATATGGGAATCTCCAAATTCTGAAATCTTCAAGTCTGTATATCTTAGACCAAGTAATCTGAAAAGCAAAACGAAACAAAACAAAATCTTCAAGCTTTGACTCTTGGAGAATCTTGTTGCTGCTGTTAAGTGCTGTTGAGTTGCCTCTGACCCCCAGTGACTCCATGGACATCAGAATGAAACACTGCCCTGTTCTGTGCCATCCCCACAATCTTTGCTATGCTTAAGTTGATCGCTGCACCCACTGTATCAATCCATTACACGGAGAGTCTTCCCATTTTTTGCTGACCTTGTACTTCACCAAAGGAGTTCTGGTAGCACAGTGCCTAAGGCATTTGACTCCTAACCAGAAGGTTGGTGATTTAACCCACCAGCCATTCCGTAGAAGGAAGACTGGGCAATCTACCTCTATAAAGATTTACTGCCTCAGAAACCCAAAGGGGGTTGCTATGAATCAGAATTGACTTGATGGCAGTGAGTTTGGTTTGGTTGGAGTTTTGCACTTCACCAAGCATGATATCATTCTCCAGGGAGTGGTCCATTCTGACAACATGACCAAAGTACATGACATGAAGTCTGGCCATTTTTGCTTCTGTGGAGCATTCCAGCTATATTTATTCTAGCTTTGTTGTTGTTGTTATTGTTACATGCCATCGAGTCAGACCCAACTCATAGTGACCCTTCCTCGGGTTTCCGAGGCATTATCACTACGGAAGTAGATTGCCCCATCTTCCTTCCGAGGAGTGGCTGGTGGGTTTGAACCGCCAGCCTTCTGGTTAGCAGTCAAGTGCCTTAGCCACTATGCTACCAGAGCTCCCATTTCTTCTAGCAGTCCATAGTATTTTCAGTATTCTTCAACACCACCACAATTCAGATGCACCAATTCTTCTTCAGTCTTCTTTATTCATTGTTCAGCTTTCACATGCTTGTGATGCTATTGAAAAGATCATGGCTTGGGTCAGGCACACCTCAGTCTTCAAAGTGACATCTTTGTTCTTTAAACACTTTAAAAAGGTCTTTCGCAACAGCTTTGCCCAGTGCAATATGATGTCTGATTTCTTGACAGATGCTTCCATGGGTGATGATTGTGGGTCCAAGTAAAATGAAATTCTTGACAATGTCAATCTTTTTTCTCTATTGATTGTGATGTTGCTTTTTGGTCCAGTAGTGAGGATTTTGTTTTCTTTATGTTGAAGTGTGATCCATACTGAAGGCTGTAGTCTTTGATCTTCATCAGTAAGTGCTTCAAGTCATCAGCAAGCAAGGTTGTATCATCTGCATATTGCAGGTTGTTAATGAGTCTTCCTCCCATCCTGATGCCATGTTCTTCTTCACATAGTCCAGTTTCTTGGATTATTTGCTCAGCTCACAGATTGAATAAGTAAGGTGAAAGGATACAACCCTGACGCACACCTTTCCTGATTTTAAACTATCCCTTTGTTCTGTTTGAACCACTACCTCTTGGTCTATATACAGGTTCCTCATGAATACAATTAAGTATTCTGGAATTCCTATTTTTTGCAATATTATCCATAATTTGTTTCAATCTACACAGTTGAGTGCCTTTGTATAGTCAATAAAACACAGGTAAACATTTTTCTGGTATCCTTTGCTTTCAGCCAAATCCATCTGACATTAGCAATGATATCCCTTTTTCTCTTCTGAATCTGGCTTGAATTTCTGGCTGTTCCCTGTCAATTTACTGCTGCAATGTTTTAGAATTATTTTCAACAAAATTCTACTTGTGTGTGATATTAATGATATTGTTGATACCTTCCACATTCTGTTGGATCATCTTTCTTTGGAATGAGCACTAATATGGATCTCTTTCAGTCGGTTGGCTAGGTAGCTTTCTTCTAAATTTCTTGCATAAACGAGCACCTTGAGTGCTGCATCAGTTTATTGAAACATCTCCCTGAATATTCTGTCAATTCCTGGAACCTTCCCCACCCCCAATTCCTTTAGTGTATCTTGAACTTCTTCCTTCAATACCATTGGTTCTTCATCATAGGCTGCCTCCTGAAATGGCTGAACATCAACCAATTCTTTTTGGTACAGTAACTCTGTATATTTCTTACCTCTTCTTCTTATTCTTTTTTTTTCTTCTTATTTATTTATTTTATTGTGATTTGGGTGAAATTTACAGAGCAAATTCACTTTCCATACAGCAGTTCACATACAATTTGTCTCATGACATTGACCACACTTTACCACAATGCAACAGCTCCCCCTCCACTTCCTCCCGATAGTTACCTCTTCCCTGTGTCCATCCCTCCATGCACTCCGCCCCCTGAGCTGTCTCCCTGTGTATAAGCAGCCCTTCTTTCTCCCATGATTGTTCTCTCCAAGGAGTGTATCTACCTCAGGTAAATGTTCAACTCATATGCCTGTCTTTTGTTTGGCTGGAAGCCACAGGTGTGGGTTCAATTCCAGACCTGAAGGGCAGCTAGGGGCCATAGTCTCAGTGTTCCACCAGGCTCTGTTGGACCAGCAAATCTAGTCCCCCCCCCCTTTTTTTCCTCCAAATGATTTTGAGTTTTGTTTCACATTGTTCTCCCTCTCTACCCAGAATCTCCTACATAGATCCCCTTCCAAGTGGTTGACAGTGGTAGCTGGGCACCATCTAGCTCTTCTGGTCTCATAGTCATGTAGGCTGCAGACTGGATAGTGTACCATTTGCTAAGACTAATTGTTTCCATGAATTTTTGGTTTTCTTCATTCTTCTTTGTTCTGGATGAGAAGAGACCCATCATTGCATATAGATCCTTACATCTTCTTTTGATGTTTCCTGCATTGTTCAGTATTTTGCCTAGATACTTTGAAATTAAAATCCGAGGCCTGATTTTTTTTTGTTCAGTTTTTTAAGCTTGAGAAATGCCAAGCACATTTTCCCTTTTTGTTTTCTAATTCCAAGTCTTTGCACATTTTATTATAACACTTTACTTTGTCTTCTTGAGCTGCCCTTTGAAATCTTCTGTTCCGTTCTTTTATTTCATGATTTCTTCCCTTCGTTTTAGCTACTCTCCAATCAAGAGGATGTTTTGGAGTCTCTTCTGACATCCATTTTGGTCTTTCCTTCTTTCCCTGTTTTTTTTAATGATGTTTTGCTTTCTTATGTATGATGTTCTGCTTTCTTATGTATGATGTTCTTGATGTCATCTCACAACTCATCTGGCCTTTGGTCATTGTTGTTCAGTGCATCAAATCTATTCTTCAGGTGGTCTCTAAATTCAGGTGGGATACAAGGTTGTATTTTGGCTCTCATGGACTTATTTTAATTATTTTCAGCTTCATCTTGAACTTGCATATGAGCGATTGATGATCTGTTCCACAGTCAGCTCCTGGCCTTGTTCTCAATATCTCAATGATATTGAGCTTCTCCATTGCCTCTTTCCACAGATGTAGTCAATTTGATTTCTGTGTATTCCATCTGGTGAGGTCCATGTATACAGTTGCCATTTGTGTTGTTGAAAAAGGTATTTGCAATGAATAAGTCATTCATCTTGATCATGCAATCTCCAATGTCATTTCTTTCACCAAGGTGTATTTTCCAACTACCAATGCTTCTTCTTTGTTTCCAACTTTCTTGTTCCGATCATCATTAACTATTAATCCATCTTGATTGCATGTTCAGTCAAGTGGAGAATCTTAGTGCCATTAAACCTGAGACTCTAGTAACATTCTCATATTCGTATTGTGGGATTTTAGAAACCAGTTTCTCACAGTTGGAAAGGACCCTATAGTTGTCTTAACTGAACCCTTACAATTCTTTGTGTACTATCCCTTTTCCTCCCCCGCCACTTTCAGGTCTAGAGTTTCCTCTCTGAGGCTCAGGCCCTCACATTCCGTTTCCTCCTGGACACCTCCTCCTGGAAGTTCTACAGGCTCCCTCACTCAACATCTCAGAGCTGAAGCTCTTTTGCTCCTAAGTGCCCCTCCACTTGTTGCCCTTCTCAGGGGTTGCACTCCATTTAGGCTGAGGTCAAGTCAAGGCCTCCCTCTCTGTATCATTTCCAGTTGGGCTCATTCTACCTCTGACTTTTCCATGGGTCTTCACTACTCAGGGGTGACTGATGTTAGGAGTAGGTAACTGTCTTAGGCTAATGTCCCTAGAAGTAGACCCTGAGATGAGGATTTTTGTGTACATTGTTTTTGTGAAAACCACCAGAGGAGGTGGAGCAGTGAAAAGAAGGGGAAGGGAAAGTGTGCCAATGAGCAAGTTACTGCTATGTGCACTTGAGGCTCAAGTTCTTCGGGGAGCTCTTGGAGACTGAGTAGAATATGCCCAAGTGTTGTCCTACCTGAAGGGCAAGGAGCTGAGGTATTTATCCACTAACACCCATCAGCACTCTCTGCTGTCCCCCACACTTGGCTCTGCTCCTGTGAAGAGCCCTGAATGCTTGCAGCCACTTCCAGAAAACCCACTTAAAACAGTAGCCAAAATGGTGGCCTAAACAAGACTCCAGCTTATAATACAAAAGTGAAAAGTCTGAAAATAGGTTGACTTCATCTTTTTTAAATCACTATTTAGCAATATTTAAGAACTATAATTACTACCCATGTGGTCGCTTTGAAGACTAAGGCCTAATGTAAGCCATGATATATTTAATCGCCTCGTATGCATGTGAACTCGATGGCACATAACAACAACAACAACATGCATGTGAAAGCTGAACAATGAATAAGGAAGACTGAAGAAAAGTTGATGCCTATGAATTGTGGTGTTGGTGAAGAGTACTGAAAGTATCATGGACTGCCCGAAGAACGAACAGATCTGTCCTTGAAGAAGTGCAGTCTGAATGCTCCTCAGAAGCAAGAATGTCCAGATGTCGTCTCATGTACTTTGGTCATGTACATGTTGTGAGAAGGGAAGGGTCCCTGGAGAAGGATGTCATGCTTGGTAAAGTGGAGGGTCTGTGAAAAGGGGGAAGGCTCTCAACAGGATGGATTGATACAGTGGCTGTAATGATGGGCTCAAGTATAGCAAGGGTTGTGAGGCTGGTGCACAACTGGGCAGTGTTTTGTTCTGTTGTACACTGAATCTCTATGAGTCAGAGCTGACTTGGTGGCACCTAACAACAACAACAACAAGAGCTATAGTGGTGACCACCTCTATCCCTCCATAGGCTGATCAGAGACCACAACAACTGTTGATTTTGGAGTGTGATATTTCCTAGTGAGCTCAGCACAGCCTCTCTCGCGGTGTGTAGCCTGAGCATAATCAATGGCTTCATTGGCTTTTTTCACAAGCCTGCCTTGAAGCTGCTTCTGTTTGGAGTACACCTTGGTCACTTCCTTCCTAACACCTGGGGTCTCTGTTCCTGCCACTTCAATTGTTAACTGTTGGCAGCTGTACTTTGCAGTGGGTTGGCCTTGCTTTTGAGGCAGGGGTTTAGCTCTAACCCTCACCCAGACTGGGGATATCTATGCTGGCATGAGGGGGCTGGGATGCCAGTGCTAGGCTGGGAGGGATATGTGGTAGTGCTCTATGGTTATCTGTGGTTGGTTCTTTAGTGAATATTTTCATGTCATGTACTTTTGGTTATCTTGTGCAAACTTGTAACAATGGTCCTGGGAGGTGGCATCGTTGCCCTCAATTTATAGGCAGGGAGTCTGAGGCTCCAAGTCTAAAATCCACAGTGCGGTGCTCAGAGCCCTGCATGAACTGCCTCACCCTGGTTTTCCCTCCACACGTCCACCCACTGCTCTGGCCACATTTTATGGCCCAGCTCAAAGTCACTTTGTCTGCAGAATTTTCCTTGATTCCCTCACTTCCCCTACTGTCCCAACCCCCATATTACTTTTATATGAGAATTCAGAGACTGAGGCATCAAAGGACCTAGGTTTGATTCTTACTCTGTTGCTCACTTGCTGTGTGACCTTAGGGAAGTCACTCAGTCTCTCTGAGCCAAATCATTCCGTCCAAAAAAATGAGGATCAAAATTCCAACTTCTGGGAGGTACAGAGAACAAAGATGAACCCTTTTGCACATATAGTACTGAGTTATCAGTGAAGGCAAACATGGGTATACAGGTGAATAGATGGGTGGACAGGCTGAACTATTAGGTATGTCTATGAAGTGGGGAGTGTACTCAAGACCATGTATAGGGTTGGCAGACAATGGTCTTATAAGGGTATTTGTATGATCCGAATTCCCAGGTGTATTTTGGAGCTGGCAAGGGGCAAGATTGTAGTCACTTCTTGGTCACAGCCAGCTAGCCAGAGGGACTGAGTTGTTAAACCTGTGGGCTCGGGACCATAGTCACAGGGGACATCAAGCTCAACTGGCATAATATACTACACAAAACATGTTCCACCTCCTACTTTGGCAAGTAGCAACTGGGATCTTAAAAGCTTGCAAGCAGCCATCTAGATGCAACAATGGGTCTCTCCTCGTCCAGAGCAAAGAAGAATGAAGAAAACCAAAGATTCATGGAAACAATTAGTCCTAGCAACTGGCACATGATGCGATACACAGCCAGAAGAACTAGATGGTGCCCGGCTACAACTGTCAACCACTCAGAGGGGGATCTATGTAGGAGATCCTGGATAGAGAGGGAGAACAATGTAGAACAAAACTCAAAATCATTTGGAAAAAGGAAAAAGTGTGTGTGGGGGGACCAGGTTTGCTGGGTCTGACAGAGCCTGGTGGAATCACTGAGACTATGGCCCCTAGCTGCCCTTCAGGTCTGGAATTGAACCCACACCTGTGACTTCCAGCCAAACAAAAGACAGGCATATGAGTTGAACATTTACTTGAGGTAGATACCTTCCTTGGAGAGAACAATCATGGGAGAAAGAAGGGCTGTGTATCCACAGGGAGACAGCTCAGGGGGCAGGAGTGCATGGAAGGATGGATACAGGGAAGAGGTAACTACAGGAGGAAGTGGAAGGAGAGCTGTTGCATTGTGGGAAATTGTAGTCAATGTCATGAGACAAAGTGTACGTGAACTGCTGTATGGAAAGTGAATTTGCTCTGTAAATTTTCATCCAAATCATAAAAAAAAAAAAAAATCCAACTTTTTGAATATGTTGCTACAAGACAGCACAGATGAAGTACCTGGCATATTATAGGCTTACTAAAAGTTGGTCATTCTCTTCTTCCTCACTAGGGTTATCTCAGTCAAGATGCATGATAGCTGGGTTCTTACCAAAGACCAGCTCTTGCCCTTGTCTTTGAAGAATTAAGACATGAGGTAAAGGAAATCTAAGTGTCCAGCACTAGGGATCAGTCTACTGCATCAAGTACACCTAGAGCATGGAGTGATAGATACCACGACAAATCATATATTTCCAAAGAGTGTTTAATCATCTGGTAACATACCTGGCAAAGTACTCACAATATACTAAGTGAACATTTACTGTAGCATCATTACAGGTAATGTATGTAGCGTGTTTACAGATGAAGAACCAGACCGCCTGCCCCTCGAGCCTGTGCTCTTCATTTAAGCTATAATGAGATGCTGTTAAGGAAAAGAGAAAGATCCAAACTTAATGTGCAGTTCCAGTCCAGTTTTACCCAGAGAGAAGGAAAAGGCAGGAGAGTTACCAGGTTATCTCTGCAAAAGAAATTTAAGAAGGAAATGTGAGATTCTGGGTTATATATATATTTTTTTGTATTTTCTAAATGTCATATTTTCTAAATACATATACATTATGTATTTATAATACATAATGAATATATATTAGTATCTTACAATTTTGATGTTTTTATTTACTTTTCTAATGTAAAGTAACATTCTCCCTTTTTAGTGTTCAATTCTCCAAATTTTGACAAATGCATACAGTCATGCAACCACCTTCATCCTGAAAATACAGAACAGTCCATCCTCCCCCAATTTCTCTTCTTCTTGCCCAGTCCTTGGCAGCCATTGATCTCTTTTCTAGTCTTATGATTTTGCCTTTTCCAGGACGTCATAGAAATGGAATCATGCTGTATTTCTTTCACAATCCTAAAAATTATAAAATATTATTGAAAATAAAATTAAATCCAGGAGAAATTAACAGAAAACCAGACAGAAATCTGAATGGATATATTCGGTAACACTAAATCCTCAGTTTTCCAGTGCCATTGGGGAGAAGCTGTTGCTAAGAGCTGGCTTTTCCTGGCAGTTGGGGTTCAGCCGTTGCCAGCCACTTCTAACACTCTAGCCCCATCCAGGTATGCAGTTCCCATAAGCCTTTTCCCCTCTGCTACTTACCCAGCCCAAATATTCTGATCTTTGAGTAAACTCACCTTAGAGGAATTGGGACTTCTGTTCTGCTTCCCTGAAGGACTCTCAGCCCAGGTGCTATGTGGTTCTGGGTGTGTGCTCCTTTTGAGCTCCTGTAGGAGGCAGTGTGACTAGGGGGAGAGAGTGTAGCTTTGGAGTCAGACTGACCTGGGGACACAATCTCGTGTGTGTGTGTGTGTGTGTGTGTGTGTGTGTGTGAAATGGACTAATAACCTTATAGGGTTGTGGTGAAGACTAAATGAGACCATGTTGGCCAAATGTGTGGGCCTTGATAAATGTGACTCCTTTCTTTTTCTATGGTTCCTTCTTGCTTTTGTCAGGGGGTGCTTCTGCCTAGAATGACACTTTGCCCTTCTAATTTGGAGTCTCTAGCCTTTCACTGAAGTCCCTGGGTCATGCAAGTTGTTAACTCACTCGGCTGTTAACCCAAGTGTTGGAGGTTCAAGTCTACCCAGGAGTGCCTTGGAGAAAAGGCCTGGAGATCTACTCACAACCCTATGGAACACAGTCCTCTCTGATGCATGGGGTCGCCATGATTTGGGGAATTGACTCAGCGGCAACTCAGAAGAAATTGAACCTGTTAGAGTAATGTGTGAACTGAGAGTAAATAGGTTGTGAATGGCTGGGTCTTAGGTGTATGGACTTTGCCACTTAAATGTGCTTACTCAGAGGTCTTTGTAACCTCCTTGTTTCTTGGCCTGGTTCACCACCTAGTTGAGATAATCATGTAATTGAATTTTTTTTGATAGGCGGATAATGCTAAATATGCTATCTCTTTTTCCCGGGTTCGTTTAGGTCTCAACCCTGTGGGCCCTGAGTCTCAGATTCGCTATTCCATGGTCAGTGTGCCCACCATCACTAATGACTACATTTCCCTGGATATCAACGTAAGTGCCCCCTTGGCAACCCAGATCTGGGGACTTGTTGCCTCTGGAGACCCTGGTGTCCTGAGGATTCCTACAGGACCAGGGAGCTTAGGGAGCAAGAAGCTGGAAGGGCATTCAAGGTGGGAACATGGTCCAGAAGACTTGTGGTGTCTTGGTGGAGTGGCATCCAAGAGCTACTTCTTCTCCCCTTCCATAGGCTGTGCTCTTCCTGCTGGGAAAGCCCATCATCCTACCTGTGGACACCACTCCCTTCATGTTGCCATACCATGTGGGCACCAAGGGCACCATGGCAACTGTGGGCCTCTCCCAGGACCTGTTTGACTCTGCCCTCCTGCTGCTGCAGAAGGCTGGGTCCCTCAACCTGGACATCACAGGGCAGCTGGTGAGGACTGGACCCACTACCTGGGGTGGGTGGCATAGAAGTGCCCTGTGGCCCGGTCTGGGAGGCCCCACAGAGGCCAGCTTTTGGGTGGGAGAGCTGGAGTTTTGGGGCCACAAGATGACTGTTAGAAGGGTCAAATGTGGGCTGTCATCTGTTCTGTCTGTAAGGGGAAAGGTGTGGTCTAGCTTGGGGTGTGGCTGCCCTAACACCTGTCATTGGTGGGGGGCTGATTTCAGGACTCAGATGACAACCCACTGAATACTTCTGCACTGGGCCAGCTTATCCCAGAGGTTGGTGACATTTCTGGTCATGCCAGGGTCTGAGACACAGGGTTTGGGGGGACTGCGGGTTGTAGGATCTCTGCTGGTTTGTCAGGTGGGGTTCAGCATGTGCCCTTCATATCTGCTCCTCCTCCATCTGAGATGACCCCTCTTTCTGCCCAGACATCACACTATTTTCCCTTCACTCTGCCTTTGCCCAAGTAGTGCCCTTTGTCAGCTATAACTTTTCTCCTTCCCTTCCCTTATCCATCTTCAAGACCAAGGTTTGGGATCACCTCTTGGAAAGCCTGAACCCCAAGTCTGATCCAGGTACCTCCTCTGAACCCCTGGACCCTGAACTGCTCTCCCTTCTAGCACAGATCATGCTGGCCATGCCTGTCTACATGCCCACCACCTCCATCAGGTGGGCGTCCCTGAGGGCAGAGTCTTTGCAATGACCAAATGGAGAGCCCACCTGCCTTAGTCTTAGTGAGGTCCTCTTTTGTCTCTCTGTCTCCATTCCCCAGGTGGCCCATCAGTTTCCTGAGTCCATGCCTGTGGTGCTCAAAGTGCGGCTGGGTGCTACGCCCATAGTCACACTCCATACCAACAATGCCACACTGCGGCTGCAGCCCTTCATCGAAGTTCTGGCTGCAGCCTCCAACTCGGCCTTCCAGTCCCTCTTCTCCCTGGATGTGGTGAGTGAGCTGGGCCTACAGGGCTGGGCAACTCTCTGGGAGACCTCATTTCCTTCTGCATGCTCCTCACTTGCTTTAACTCTAGCCACACTGGCTTCCCTGCTGTTCCTTGAGCGTGTCAGGAATGATCCATTTCAGGACCTTTGCATGTGCTGTATCTTCTGCCTAGAACACTTTTTCTATGGTTCTTGGCTTACTGGCTCCTACTCATCTTTCAAGTCTCAATTTAAATGTCACCTCCTAAGGACATCAACCCTCTCCACACCATCACCCTGCCTTTGTGGCACCCATCACTCTCTAAAAGGATCCCATCTGGTCACTTTGGCTTTTGTTCACCTGTCCCACTGGCCTGTGGAGGTTTCCAAGGGCAGGGACAGTGTTTGTCTTGCTCACATTTGTGTTCCCAGGGCCTGGAGCATGACATATGCTCAACAAACACTTGATGCCTGAATGATCGGAGGAATGGGTAGAAGGCTGGGGGAGCTGGTGGCTCTGTGTCCTCTGACCCTGTCTTCTCATGTGCCCAGGTAGTGAACCTGAGCCTCCAGCTTTTTGTGTCTAAGGTGAAGCTTCAGGGGACCACATCTGTGCTGGGGTAAGGAAGACCTCCTGGATCCAGCAGCCTCAGCATGTTTTTCTGTGCATTGGGCCCACAATCACCCTGGTCCACTGAACTGAGTCCTTGGCAATCAGAGTAGCCTGAGATGCAGTGGAGGGTGGCTCTAGTGTGGGGAGGCACAAAGCCCAGTGTGAACCCTCCTGTTTCTCTTCTAGGGATGTCCAGCTCACTGTGGCCTCCTCCAATGTGGGCTCCATTGATGTGAGTCTGGGGTCCCTAGAGAAACCGTTAGTACTTGGGGCAGGCCTTGAGCTCGGGAAGGGGTGTATGTATATGTCTCTGTATGTACCACCATAACCTGGGCTTCTTCTCAGGGTTGGGGACAATGGTGAACCAGTTGGCCCACCTCTCTGGCAGTCTGTCTTCTCAAGGGCTGTCTGTCTGCTAGCCATCCAGTTAGCCCTTGAGCAGCCTCAGCCTTTCAATGGGTTCACTCAGCAGCCTGCTTGTCATTGATGACACCCAGCCTTCAGCCCGAGAGTTACCAAGTCCACAAGTCTGTTGTATATGTCAGTGTCAGGCAAAGTGCTGGCTCCCCTCAGTCACCATGGGCCACTATCAGTCAGTATGCCTCATCAGGCTGTCCACCTGTCAGATAGACTGTCCATGAGTCAGCATCAGCAGTCAATTAGTCATCTGGCATCAGGTGGACCGTCCATCTGGAAGTCAACTGGAGAGTGTTCACCAGCTAGTCTGTTGGTCAGTGTCTGTCCATTGTCAACCTGCTGGTAACACAGTGAGTAAGTGGGAGTCAATCAATCAGGCTTCCCATCTGTCACTTGATGTCAGGGTCCCTGATGCCTAGAGGCTGGTACAGTTCTAGGGGTGTAGCTGGGTTCTGCTTGAACCCAAGGCATGAGTGATCTGCTCTCCCCCTCAGCCCATTTCACTGCCATCTGTCTGTCTGTTTTTGTGTTCACATGTGTATCTAACTGTCCCTCTCTCTGGGCCTTCGGCTGGGATGGGCCCATGGCCCTCATCTCCCTGACTCTGCGGCGGTAGATGGATCAAGTGCACACCCTGATGGGTGCCGTGTTTGAGAAGCCCCTGCTAGACCACCTCAATGGTGAGCCTCAGCCTCCACCCCAGTGTGGCTCCCTGCCTCCTCCTGCCCTGCAACCCCACATCCCTCTCCACCTCCAAGGCTTAGTGGTTAGGAGGAGTCCTGCTTCTTGTGTTCATGTCTGCTCAGCTGTGATCTTGGCTAAGTTACTTCTCTTCTCCAGGCCTCAGTTTTCCCTTCTGTAAAGTGGGTCTAATAATAGCACTCCACCTCCTGGGGTTGTGGTCTCACCTCTTGGGTGGCTGTGAGGATGCAGTGAGGACCTCAGCACAGGTCTGCCTGTGGGAGGTGCTCCTTTACCAACTCCTGGGTGACTCAATTTCTCCTTTCCTCCTGCAGCTCTCCTGGGCCTGGGGATTGCCCTCCCCAATTTAGTCAACCTCCACTATGCTTCCCCCAAGGTCTTTGTCTATGAGGTGAGAGCTGCTGACGGACGGGGGCTTCCTGGGGCAGGGATCATCTCCCTCCCTGCTAGTGCAAATGGTGGCTGGGGGTGTCTTGTCCCTGCCAAGATCGAGCTGTGAATCCTTAGCTGCAGTGAGAAGAGACATCTCAGGACTTCATGAAACAGGAGTGCAAGGACTTCACCTTCCTTTTGTCGTTGTTGTTGTTATGTGCTGTCGAGTCGGACCCGACTCATAGTGACCCCTCCTTGGGTTTCCGAGGCAGTATCACTACAGAAATAGATTGCCCAACCTTCCTTCTGAGGAGTGGCTGGTGGGTTTGAACCGCCAGCCTTCTGATTAGCAGTCAAGTGCCTTAGGCACTATGCTACCAGAGCTCCTCACCTTCCTTTTAGTTCCCATCAAATATTACACCAGGTCACATGGGGGAGTCAGCCCTTCAATTGTGCCATAAATCTGTGTCTTGAGTTGGACATGACCCCTCAATGTCTGGCTCATATAACAGAGGGGTTCCTTAAAGCTCATAGCCAAACCTCTGCATGCAGGGTAGGTAAAGGGGGCTTCCTGTTCCTTCTAAGATCACATTCTTTGGATCAAGAATTGTGGGCTCAACATGAAATTCAATCACAATCACTGCTCAGGATGAGACTCTACAACATTGTTCTGCTTCACTTGGAATAGTGTTGCTGTTGTGTGCCGTCAAGGTGATTCTGACTCATAGCGACCCTATGAGACAGAGTAGAACTGTGCCATGGGGTTTCCTAGGCTGTAATTTTTATAGGAGCAGGTCTTCAGGTCTTTTCTCCTATGGAGCACCTGGTGGGTTTGAACTGCTGACCTTTCTGTTAACAGTCATGCACTTGAGCCATTGTCCCACCAGAACTCCCTACCTATAGTATAAAAGAATATTCTTCCTAATTTATTCAACAAGATATGCATAGCATAGGAGCTCTGGTAGTGTAGTGCCTAAGGCATTTGACTGCTAACCAGAAGGCTGGGGGTTCAAACCCACCAGCCACTCCTCGGAAGGAAGGTTGGACAATCTACCTCCATAGTGATACTGCCTCGGAAACCCAAGGAGGGGTCACTGTGAGTCCGATCTGACTTGATGGCAGTGAGTTTTTAGTATGCATAGCATAAAGCTTAACTCAAACCCAACTTCTGCTCCCTCTGAGTGTGACCTGCCAATGTCTTTCCAGGCAGGGTGCCCTCCCTTCAACCCCAAGGTGTCTGTCTGATCCATCCCTCTTAGAAGGGAATCAGGGCTATCAGTGGGAAGTTCCCCAAGACTCTCCCAAGTGGAATATGGTCAGTGGCTGGCCTAGCTTGACACATCCAGTCAATTGGATCAAGACTCAATGGTTCCTAGACCAGCTCTGTCCAATAGGACTTTCTGGATGGGGGAAAATCTGTACTGTCCAAAACAGTAGCCACTGTCAGATACTAGGTACTTGTGGCTACTGAACACTGAAATGTGGCTAGTGTAACTGAGGAGCTGAATTTTAAATTTTATTTAATTTTAACTAATTTAAATTTAGTTAACCATATGTGGCTAATGGCTACCATATTGGGCCATGTAGTCCTAGACTAAGAGCCACATGTGGACAAGGACTGGTTCTGGCTCATTCTCTGCTAGGTCCTCAGCACATGGCAGAGAGCTTGACTTATACTACAGGCTAAATGAAGATTTGTTGAATGAATGAACGAATGTTCAACAGGCCCCAGATCAGAACATTTCTGTGGTGTGGTAAAGAGTAGGGAGGTGTTGATGAAGGGTGGCTGGCCCTGCTGGTGAGTCCTGGTGAGAAGATTGAGAGTTCTGGACTCCTGGTCATAGCAATGACACTGCCCATGCCTGGAGCCTGCCCTGAATGTCAGCCCCAGATGCTTTTCCCGCATGGTCTTGCGGATACTGTGAGGATCACAGTAGCCTTGTGTGTGCGTGTGTGGGTGCTATTACCACCCCTGAGTGACAGAGCAGGAAATTGAAGCCCAGAGAGAAAAAGGACTTTCCCCAGTCACACAGCAAGAGTGTGGAGCATGGATTCAGAGGTGGTGCTACTGGGCAGCTGGGAGCCCTGCCTGTTCTCATGTGACCTCTGATCTGGTCTCCCTGTTTTTCTTTGACCTTCAGGGCTACGTCGTGGTATCCAGTGGACTGTCCTACCAGCACTGAGGCAGGAACATAGGGAGGCTGGAGGTGGGCCAGTTCCCTGTTCAGGGACCCTCTTACCTCAAGCCCTTCTGGGGGACAAAGCTACACCATCACCAGCAAGTGGGACACCCTGCTGGGCTGTGTAATCTTCACTGAGTGATTTGGGTTCCCCTTCTTCCCACCTTCTTCCCCTACCCTTCCTCCTTCTACCTCCATTTACCTCTGTGTGGGGAGCAGATCGCCCCGCTATAGGCTGTACAGACCTGTCCCTTCTTGCATTAAACATCTCTTGAGCTGCAACTTCCAGCCAGATCCAGCAAACTCTCTGTATACATGAGACCACTTCCCTGCATGAAGTCCCTGGTCCTGTCTGCCCCCGGAACCACCAAAGCGGCCTGGGACAAGGAGAAGAAATGACATCTTTATTGACTACATCTGCTAATTCTGTCACCTCTTTGCCCAGAAGCCTCACATTTTGAAAGAGGACCCTGGAGAACAACTTGAATGAACTGAAATCATGAGCACCATGATGGCACTTTAGGCACTGTGCTCCTGCCTGGTGGCATGTGCCATACCTTTTCCCCTGTACAGTTGTGCCTATGTTATGTCTGATCTTGTTACTTGTTGTTGTTGTTGTTATGTGCCGTCAAGTCGGCCCGACTCATAGCAACCCCTCCTTGGGTTTCCGAGGCAGTATCACTACGGAAGTAGGATTGCCCAACCTTCCTTCCGAGGAGTAGCTGGTGGGTTTGAACCACCAGGCGTCTGGTTAGCAGGCAAGTGTCTTAGCCACTATGCTACCAGAGCTCCCGATCTTGTTACTAGAACCTTATAAGAGCCCTGTGAGTCAGGAGGTTCTGAGGCTCTATTTTCAGAGACAGAGTTCTACATTCAGACATAGAGGCTCAGCAAGGAGAAGAATGAACCCAAGTTCCCAAGTTGGTTGGTGGCAGGTCCCAAGGACTGTGACCCTCCTAGAATCCAGAAATAAGATGTTATCCAGTTCATTCATCAGCATCCCCACCTGGGGTTTTTCCTTGGGCCACAAACTCACAGGACAGGGAACTCATTTATCCAGGCAGCATCTCCATCTTTGGTTTATTTTGTTCTAAGGAGACTGGACTTGCATCCTAGGCATCAGCTTCTCTGGCTTCAATAACCAAGTCTAGTTCCCTTTCCTTCTTCAAGCTTTTCAAGCCCAATGGATCTCACACATCAAGATGGCCTTGGAAAGACCAAGGGATGCAAACACTGGCAACCTAGAGCTGTGTTTTCTCTCCTGATAAACTCATCTCTTAGTGTTCCCTCCCTGTCTAGATACACAGGCTTCATGTTTTGTTTATGTTTCCTCTGATGAGTAAAAGGTGTCTGCGTTTCCACCATCAGTGAACAAAGATTTTGGTACAGTGTGATGCTAGCCTCTCTACCTATAAGGATTACATGTTCAATCCCCCAGTCTCAGTGTGACTGACTGAGGCAACTGGAGTGAGTACAGGGACTCGATGATGGGAAGAAGGTAGAGGTAGTGCTGAAAGAGTGGAAAGGGGCAGACTATAAAATCCAACCTCATGATTTTGCTCAGGATAGCAAAGTAATTAACCTAGAAAAATATCATGAGCCCAGAATATGGAATGCATCCATGAAGTTTTAAGTCCATTGAACCATCCACCCACCCTCTTATCCATCCACTCACCCTCCCGTCCATCCTTCCATCTTTCCACCCATCCACCCACCCATCCATCCCACCCCTCATCTATTCATGTTTCCATCTGTCCATACTTTCACCCTCCCATCTGCCTATCTGTCCATCCATTCATCCACCTGTTCACTTGTCCATACATTCATTCATCCATATGTCTATCGATTCTTTAATCCATCCATCCACCCACCCACACATCCATCCATTCATTCAAACTTGCCTTTTCCTGACTAGCCAGGCTTTTTTTTTTTTGCTATCCACGATGTGCCAGGTTCTGTGATACATGCTATTTTAAGAGAAGAGGCAGAAAGACACCTGAATCAAGCTCCCTGCCCATGGTCTGCCCCAAAGGAGCTGGTCCAATCTGTTCAGCTGTTCACTGTGATGCCTGCCGAGTGCTGGCTGCTGAGAGGGACAAGTAGATGTTCAGTCTCAGCCCAATCAGAAGATACAAACCACATAGTAGCTTAAATAGGGGAAGTTTAGTATGAAGAATTATTAACCATGATCAAAGAGTAACTCTAAGATATAAGGAAACTCTAGATAGTATTGTTACGGCAGAGGGGGAATACAGAGGAAGGACAAACATGCCTAGGGCTTCAGATCTTGCTGGAGACAATGTGGTTCAGCCCACCCAGATGCAGAGAAGTGCCCTGGTTAGGCTCAACCAGAGCTGACTGGAGCTGCTGGACAAACAATAGGCCACTCTTTGCAGTGTAGGAGGGGGAGCCGGAGGCCTGCAAATAGGCAACTGGGCTTGCAGTGCAGGCACAGCGGGGGCGGAAGGTCTTCAGAACCTGTGTACAGGCCTCACATGGGGGCTGCTGCCTGCAGGCTTCACGGGGCACTTGCAGAGGGACACTGGTGCTGATGCAGACAGGAGGCCTTCAGAGTGGATGGGCCAGGGGTTGAGGGTTGAGTGGGATGCTCTGGTTTTGGTTTGCAGCAGTCTGTGGAAAGGCTGTCTGCAGGTTCAGGCTGCAGGCTTTCAAGATGGCATTCTGTGGCCAAGCCTGGGACAAGCTTCACTGGGTGTTCTCACGACCCTACTACCCATCCTGCACGATGCTGCGAATCACAGGCAGCCCCTTCCTCTTGCAATGTCCTTCCAGAGCCTTCTATTGAGAAAGGTTGACATTGTGCTCACTGTAAAGGAGAAATGCTTAAATGAATTCTGCTGTTATCACAGAACATAGAAGGGGCAAGTGGAGCTGAGAGGCAATAGGCCTAGTGGGGCAGGAAGGGAAGGCTCACGTCATCTCATATCTAGTTCCCCTCAGATACCTTCCTTGGACACCTTAACCCTGAACATATGTGCCACATGTTTCCTCTGTAGGCCTTGCTGTTTGCTTTCCCTGGAATGCCTTTACCTGAACCTGTTTGGCCATCATTAACCAGCTCAAGGCAATCTTCCCTGACCATGGGCTAACACTCTCTCTTTTCAACTCCCCAAATCCCTTGGTTTGTTTCTTCCCTTGTGACCCTGATACCCTGTGATCTTATACCAAGGTTGCTTGTTTCCGTGGCTCCCCTCCCCACCAGACCTCCTGTGACCAGCCTCTGATTCTCCTCTCTGACACTTCCCAGAGCCCAGCACACACAGTGCATAATACAGGGTGGTGAGTGAGTTGTGTGCACACATTTATGCTGAAGTTTTATCCCAGGCTTGCTCTAGCCCTGAGCCCTGCACAGGCCACATGGGGAGCCTGATTCCCAGCAGCAGATGGGGGCTGTGAACTCGAGTCACCCTTGCTGGGTCCCCAGAGAGTCCCCTTCATAGAAGGGAAGAGATAATACTGTATTTTAGGACTGGCCCTATTGTCAGTGTCTGAGGTGGGGTGGGGGAAGGAAAAGGTGGTTAGGGAAGGCTCCTCGAAGAAGAACCCTCAAGCTGGCCTGGAAGGATGGCTGAATTTGGAGCCCGTAGCAGGGAGGGTATAGTAAGGGGACAAGGCAGGGTGGTTCTGGGGACTGGGGGAAGTGGAGGTCAGAGAGGTGGGCAGGAGTCTGAGTAGGTGTTCCTTAGAAGTCTTGGTCTGGGCTCTGGAGCTCCTTGGATCCAGATTCAACCTGGATTGCACTACATACTTGCTGGATGACCTCAGGAAAGTTGCTTGACCTATCTGAGCCTCAGTTTCCCTGTCTGTAAAATGGAGGAACATGCAAAAGTATCTACTTCATAGGATGGTGGTAGTTAGGTGCCATTGAGTCCATTTCTGACTCATAGTGATCCCATTTGACAGAGTAGAACTGCCTCATACGGTTTTCTTGGCACTAATCCTTATGAAAGGTGTCCTGGTGGTACAGTGATTAAGCAGTTGGTTGTTAACCAAAAGGTCGGGGGTTCGAACCCACCAGCTGCTCTGTGGAAGGAAGATGTGGCAGTCTGCTTCTGTAAAGACTACAACCCTTGGAAACCCAATGGGGCAGTTCTACTCTGTCCTGTAGGGTTGCTATGAGTTGGAACTGACTCAACAGCAATGGCTTAGTCTTTATGGAAGCAGAGTGTCAGGTGTCTCTCACAGAGATGCTGGGGGGGTTTGAACTGCACATCTTTCAGTTAGCATCTGAACACTTAACTATTGCACCACCAGCACTCTTTCCTACCAGGGTAGTTGTGAGGATTCTGTGGGCTGGTGCATAGCTAACACTTACATGATGCCTGGCACAGGTGAAGGGCGTCAGCATCATGGAGGCCCACCTCTCCTCTCCCCTGCAAACATAAAAAGGATAAAACAGTTATCCAGGTGGTTTGAGGGAGTTGCCCAAGACCACACAGCTTATGAGGGTAGTAACTGGAATTGGGACCCAGGTCCCAGGACCCATTCAAGGGGTGCTTCTCCAACCCCCTCCTGCCCCATGTCTTTCCTGCTTCATGCCCCCACCCCATACTCAAGGTGGCCCTGGGGGAGGGCAAGGAGGGCCAGCGGACCAGAGCCAGAGACACACTGGGGCAGGTTGCCAGGTGTGAGGAGGGTATGAGGCCTGCCTGTCAGTCTGTCTGTTGGGGGCGGGCCAGCAGGGATCAAACGATGTTATCTGTAGTGCTGCCTGGGGACTGGCTTCTCCAGCTCAGGCCCAGATCAGGATGGAGACAGCTGGGCTCACCCGGTCCTGCTCTCACCCTGGCCCTCCCTGGCCTCAGCCACACTGGGTGATCTCAGGAGGTTCTTCTCCTCCCCCGGCCTCAGTGGCCCCTGTGCACAATGGGCACAGTAGCTTACGTGATGTTTGAGACCAGTGGGTCCCCCGTTGGGTGGATGAAGAAACCCTAGATCACCAACGCTCTCTTCCCCTGGGACTATCCATCAAGAGTGAGTGAAGGCCCTCAAGGTGTCCCCAAGCCAAGCCTCACTGAGGGCTCATGAGGGCAGAGCAAAGACTGGGCGCCTTAGGCCCGGACTCTGCCTCAGCTCTGGGGCTGCTTCTCCACGTGATCTGAGCTCACCTCTGCCTTCATTGACCTGCAGGATTGAGCCTTGAGAGAAAGCCCCTACCTGGCACTTTCCACTCCTCCCAGTTTCTCCCCCAGTAGGGTGCATCCCTTGGCCACTAGCTCCCATGAACCCTACGGTGAGTCCTAGAGGAGCACAAATCCCCGTCAGTCTGGCCAGGGTCACCCAGGCCTTTGCCACTGGTTCTCCACCCCTGCACCACAAAACCCCTTTTCATCCTTGCACAGCTGGCTTCTTCTCCAGCCTCTGGCATCAGTTCCGGCATCTGCTGCTCAGAGGGTCCTTTGGGCTGATGATGCATTGGTCCCTACCCTCTCCATCTCATCCCTCTGCTTTGTTGGCTTCCTCTGCCTTTGTCCCCCTCAAAACAGGGACTGTGATTATTGATCTGTTTTGTGCTGTCTCCCTGTTTGGGTTCCTTCCCCAGGGCAGGAATCCTGGCTGCCTGGGTCACTGCTTCATCCTCTGTGGCCTGTATAGGCCTGGCACATAGTAGGTGCTCATTAAATGCTTGTTGAAGGAATGAGTGAGTGCCTACTGTGTGCCCAGCCCTGTGGGAGGTACTGAGCCCAAGATGCTGCTCAGGCCTGGCATCCCCTCCCCAGCACCCACCCTCATGCAGATACCCAGTCTCCCCAGCCACCCTCGTCGTCTGTGCTATTTACGTTGGAACAGATTGACATGTCATGTGACCTGTTCTTGGGGCCTCTAGATAATTATCTGGACCTTATTAAACCCTTAATTATCCAAGCAGCTAATCAGTCTCCTGAATATAAGGGCTTCCTCGTTCCAGGGTCAGGAGGCAGGGGTCGGTCAGCTTCAGGACTTCCCGGGCTCGGAAGGTAAGGACAGGCCTCGCAGACAGTGCCATATCCAGCCCTATCATTTTACAGATAAGAAAACTGAAGCTCAGAGAGGGGATGGGACTTGCTAAGTTACACAGCAAATGGTGGCAAGGCCAGGGCCCAGACCCATGTCCTGACTGTAGCCCAGTGCTCCCTGCTCACGGGTAGCCACTGGACATGCAATTTTCAGATACGTAACACCTGGCTACAGGACTTAGGAAAGCTCAAGGAGATAGCAGATTCAACGGACCTCCTTGAGCTCCTTCCTAGACCAAAGGGAGATGCAGTAGGGAAATGTCCCAGGCCCTGCTTTGCAGGAGCTCAGAGCTAAGCTGAGACCACCAGGACTTGGGCATCTAGAAGCATTTGTCAGGTGGAGAGGGAGAGCAAGGGACTCCAGGTGGAGGAAAAAGTGTGAGAAAGGATGGAGGTGAGGCAGCAGGAAATACTCCTCAAGATACAGATGGAATTTACGTAAGGACACACTCAAACTGGAATCTTTAAGGTGGGGTGGCGGGTGGCAAGAGACTGGAGGTTGAGAGAAGGCTTTCTGGTAGAGGAGGCAAGAGCTAAAATGAGCAGGTGATGGGTGGGTGGAGGTCGAGCATTCTAGGAGGGAGGTAAAGCTTGGGCAAAAGCACAATCTAAAGCCAAACCCTGGCATTTACCATCTGTCCCAGAAAGAAATACCTGTACAACCATGCTACCCTGAGCCTTTATTGTTCCAAGAGGGCAAAAAACCCTGCTCCAAGCGACCTTCACACCTGGCACAGTTCTGGCCTGGAAGTGGGGAGACCAGGTGGCCTTCGGTCTCTGGGGCTTAGTTGCCTCATCTGTGAGATGGGGCTGGGGCTTCTGGGCACCTTCACCAGCCCCTGTAGCTCTGGTACCCTGGCACAGACATTCACTGTCCCTCTGGGATGAATTTCAAAGATGGGTACATGGGTGCCTGGCACCTGCCATGGCCCATGAGAGTGTGTTCATAGAGACAGACGAAGTGCCAGGTTGATGCTTTTCAAGTCCAGAAGGATATTTAAAACTTGAGTGAGATGAGAGAGAGAGAGATGAAGCTTTGATTAGTGAATATTGATTTTGGGCTGACACATACTCCCCTGGCTCTTTGTACGCTGGCTTCTTCTCACACTTTAAGTGTCAGCTTAAAGATCTCCTGAGAGAGGCCTTTCCTGGCAATGCGCATGCCCTGCCTTCACTCTATCCCATTTTATTGCTTCATCTGCCACTGCCTCCAGAGTCTACGAGTCAGGAGGGGTAAGACAATCTTGGCCATGTGCACCTGGTAGCCTGGTCTGCCTGGCATATAAAACCCCTGGCACATGTTGTTGTTGTTATGTGCCGTGGAGTCGGATCCTACTCATAGCGACCCCTCCTTGGGTTTCCAAGGTGGTATCACTACGGAAGTAGATTGCCCAACCTTCCTTCCGAGGAGTGGATGGTTCTGAACCACCAGCCTTCTGATTAGCAGTCAAGTGCCTTAGGCACTACGCTACCAGAGCTCCTGTCCTGGCACATAGTACCTGGAAAAAAAAAAAAAAATCCACTGCCATGGAGTTGATTGCAACTCATAGTGACCTTATAGGACAGGGTAGGACTGCCCCATAGGGTTTGCAAGGGTATAATCGTTATGGAAGCAGACTGCCTCATCTTTCTCCTGCACAGTAGCTAGGGGTTTCAACCACTGACCTTTTGGTTAACAGCCAAGTGCTAACCCATCCTCTAGGCCTTCTTTGGCACATAGTAGGCACTCAATAAAGGAGCTCTGATAGCACATTGCCTAAGACATTTGACTGATAACCAGAGGTTGGTGGTTTAAACCCACCAGCCACCTCATGGAAGGAAGCCAGGGCAATCTACCTCCGTAAAGATTTACTGCTATGGAAACCCAATGGGGTCATTATGATTCAGAATTGACTCAATGGCAGTGAGTTTGGTTTGGTTCAGGCACTCAATAAACACAAGATGAATGAGTAAATGAATGCAGACCTAGGCTTGGGTCTGGAGAGGTGAGCCCACAGTAGTGGCCCATCTCAGTCTGTGCACCAGTGGGACCCTCAGTGGCCAAGTTTGTTGTCAACAAGTGTTCCGCTGGGTTACCCCCCTTCTTGGGCCTGGCACAGGCTGGCCTCCATGGGCTCCTCCTTGATTCGTTGCCTTTTTAGCCAAAGCTTAAACCTGAAATCAGCACTTGGCTTCTGGTTGGGAGAATTCCAGGCCTTGGTAAGTAGAAGGGAGGAATTTCTGGGGGATAGGGTGGGGTGAGGCTTTCCTGGGAACCCTGAGAGGTTTGAGGTGGGAGGTCCTTGTTTAGTTCTGCTACTCAATACCTATGAGACCATGGGTATGTGCCTCGGTTTCCCTGTTGGTGAGGCAATGTCTAAACAAACCTTAGGGCAAACAACAGCCCCTTAGGGCTGTATGTTGAGATTTCTGGGCTCCTTGGAAGGAATATTGGGAAATCTACTTTCATAGAGATACCGCCTCGGAAACCCAAGGAGAGGTCACTATGAGTCTGGATTGACTTGACGACAGTGAGTTTTTTTTTTTTTTAAATGTGGAAAATGAGGCTGGGCTGGAGGAGGTGGGGACATTGTGGGGTGCAGGGTCAGGGAAGCAGAGGGCTCCCTCATTCCCACATGCAGTGGGAGCTTCCTGAGCCAGAGGTGTGGGATCTCCTCTGTAGCCCCGGCATTTTCTGGTGCTGAGGTCCACTTGCACCCACAAATAACCACAGTTGAGCTTCTCACCAACCCCCTAATGCAGGCTGGTCAGAGTGTATCATACCCGTTCCACAGATGAAGAAACTGAGGTTTAGAGAGGGAAGTAACCTGCCTGAGGAGACTTCAGAGGCTCCATGTTTAATCTCGGAGCTCTGGCAGCGTAGTACCTAAGGCACTTGACTGCTAACCAGAAGGCTGGCTGTTCAAACCCACCAGCCACTTCTCAGAAGGAAGGTTGGGAAATCTACTTCTGTAGTGATACCATCTCGGAAACCCAAGGAGGGGTTGCTATGAGTCGGGTCTGACTTGACGGTGCATAACAACAACAACAACAACATCACGTTGAATCTGGATGCACCTTGACCCCATGAGAAGGCAGTCATGTTTACCGAGCTAGTTAGAGTCCAAATCCTGGCCTCCCAAGATCCCCAGGGGCCTGGTCTGCTTTGGGGTATAGGAGCTTGGTTCCCAGGGGCAGCAGGGTGGCAGCCAGTTCAGGCCCCTCTGCACAGGTGGAGCCATGCTGCGGATCCTGTTCCTGGCACTCTGCGGGCTGCTGACAGGCACGCGAGCTGACCCTGGGGCCCTGCTGCGCCTGGGCATGGACCTCATGAACCGCGGTGAGGGTGCAGGCCAGGCGTGGGGGGTGGGGTGGGCAGCAACAGCTCGTGTTGGCATGCCTGGAGCATCCTGTGATCCTCAAAATGAACCCAAGAGCAATGCGTTATTATTTTCCCATTTTTACGAAGGGGGAAAACTGAGGCACAGAGATGAGGTGGCTTGTCCAAGGTTCCCTCAAAGAAGAAAATCCTGTTCCCTTGGGGCTTCTTGTTGGCCCTCATGGCCGAGTTTGGTGGCCACAGAGGCTGTGGGGGTTATAGACCTGGCTTCAAATCCCAGTCTGCCCACAACTTGCTGTGTGACTTCAGGCTAATCACCTGCTCTCTCTGTGCTGCTGATTGCTCACCTGTAAATGTAAAATGGAGAGAAATGTATAATGGGGTGGTCAGTTCTTCCCCATCAGGATTGAATGAAATGTGTAAAATCACCTGTGGGGTGAGGTGAGGAGTCCTTAGTAAAATTTAGTTTCTATCCCCAGCTCCTTGACCCTAAGGTAAATGGAGTCACAGATGCAAAGGGCTAATGACAATTCTATCAGCTCAGTGCTTGTCTCCTCTCTGGGAATCAGCCTGTGACCATACTGGCAGTGTTTCTGCCAGGATGTCATTTGGGGTTGGGGTCTCCAGGCCTGGGGACTCAGAGTCTCTAGGGTTCAGGCCTAGAATCTGCATTTTCTCACGCTCCCAGGCACGTCCCTGAATCGCCTAGATCTGGGCATGGCAGGCCCATCAGATAAGGTGGCAGGCAAGGGCTCGTGATATGTCCTTTGCTAACAGCTCCAGCTCCTCTGGCGTGTTTTTGCTGTCTTCCTCCAGCCACAATGAATTTTCACTCTTCCCTTTCTTTCCCTCCCCTTCCCCGCCTTTGCCCTTTCTGTGCTCATGCAGGAGTGGCCCCCTTTGTATCTCTTTGCTACCTGGTAAATTCCTATTCCTCCTTCAGAGACCAAGCAATATGTCACCTCCTCCTGGAAGCCTTCCCCAACTCTTCCCTTCCTGGCTTGGGACTCATGTGGTTCCTACAGATCCTATGCTCACCCTATTATAGTTTTGGTCACTTGTTACTGCTGTCAAGAGTGGTTCTGTCTCCCCCATTAGGCTGGAGAAGACTGGGGCTGGACATGGTTCATCTCTAGGTCCCCAGCCTTTCCTAGCCAAGGGTTGGGACACAGTGATTCTGGGGACACAGGGTGGCACGACCTATGAGTGGTGTGGGCTTGGGAGACCCAAGAGATTGGCCCAAGCAGCCAGGAGAGCAGTGGGGAGCCCAGCTGAGTGTCCTTCCGGGCCCCCTTTCCAGAGGTCCAGAGTGCCATGGATGAGAGTCACATTCTGGAGAAGATGGCAGCGGAGGCGGGCAAGAAACGGCCGGGGATGAAACCCATCAAGGGCATCACTAAGTGAGGGGGGCCTCTGGGGGCTGCAGTTGGAGCAGAGGGTGGAATGGGGACCTGAGAAAGCTGGTGTGGGGCTTGGGCCTCTTCCTGCCTCTTCACTGCCTTGCTGAGTGATCTTGGGCAGATCACTGCTTCCACTTGGACCTCAGCCTCCTCAGCTATCCACTGGGAACTATTCCTGCCCTGCCTATGAGCCAGGTTATTAGGAGGTAGAAGTGAGGTGGGCAAGTCAATCTCCAACTGCTTGTACACAGCAGGGACTCACTGAGTTCACGTCAAATTGAATGAAAATCCTTAAATGGCAGAGAAGGAAAGGTATCAATAGTCAACTAACGACAGGGGCAAGTCCGTTCCATTGCACTTGTTGTCAGGGATTGATTGGAAGGGATTGCCTGAAAGACGTCCTGGGAAGAATTCTGGGGCACTAAAGGAGCTCTGGTGGCATAGTGCCTAAGGCATTTGACTGCTAACCAGAAGGCTGGTGGTTCAAACCCACCAGCCACTCCTCAGAAAGAAGATTGTGCAATCTACTTCCATAGTGATACTCCCTTGGAAACCCAAGGAGGGATTGCTACAAGTCGGATCTGACTCAACAGCAGTGAGTTTGGTTTTGGTTTTGGTATCGGGGCTTAGTAGGAAGTAGGACTGTGATCACTTAGTATTGCCTGCCAAGAGCTCAAGATGGGCAGGTGGATACCACGTCTTTGCTACCCTGGATCCAGACTGATGGTTCTCAACTAGGGGTGATTTTCCCCCCAGGGAACAATGGCAATGTCTGGAGACATTGGGATGGTGGATTCAGATGCTACTGGCACCTAGTGGGTAGAGACACTGCTAAACATCCTACAATGCACAGACAGCCCCATAACCAAGAATTTTCTGGCCCCCAAATGTCAATAGTAGCACTATTGGTACACCTTGATCTTGGCAAAACTTCCCATTCTCCCAGTGGGAAACTGAGGCCCATAGAAGGGAAGGGAGAAGTCCAAGATCATACAAAGTATCAGCCAGGCATTCTACCTCACACATGGTGAGTGCTTTCTGTGTACAAATTGGTTTATGACCAGCCTTTTGTTTGGGTTCCATTGCAACTCTATGGGAAGGCTTATCCTAGCAGCACAGGATGAGGAAATTTCCCTAAGACTTCCTAGCAAGGTGGTGGAGGAACAAGTCTAGGGCTCCGGTCTCATCTTCCCAGTTCTCATTCCTGTGGATGCCTATCCCCTCCCAGTCTAAAGGTGAAGGATGTCCAGCTGCCTGTCATCACACTGAGCTTCGTACCTGGGGTGGGCATCTTTCAGTGCGTGTCCACTGGCATGACCATCACTGGCAAAAGGTGAGTATCAGGCTGGCAATTGGAGGAGGATGACCTCTCTGTCTCACTCCTTGATGCATGTTTATTGAGCACCTACTGTGTGCCACCTGAATACTGTGGTCTAAGATGATGCAGACTTGGTTCTTACTTTTTCATGGGCAATAAAAGACTGAAGAGTTGGTCTAGAATAAAGGCAGCTTTGGGGGTAAGGAATCAAGAAAGAAAGTGGTCATTGACTTCTAGGAAGTGGTGACAGCTAAGCAGAGTTTTGAAGGATGTGTAGGAGTTCACTAAGGCAAGATGGAGGGGAAAGGCTAGATGTATGACTGCGGGCAGGTCCTATCCCCTTCTCTGTCCTATCAGGTGGTTTTTCTCCCAGAGCTGCTAAGATTGTGGACAGAGAGAGGGCAAGGGTAGTGGCTTCAGTGACAGAGATGCCTATGATGCCCACCTGTCCCTTCCTCCAGCTTCATGGGTGGAAACATGGAGATCATTGTGGTCCTGAATATCACAGCCACCAACCGGCTTCTGCAGGATGAGGAGACGGGCCTCCCCACATTCAAGAGCGAGGGCTGTGAGATCATCCTGGTCAGTGTGAAGACCAACCTGCCTAGCAAGTAAGAAGCTCTGCAGCTGGAGCCCATTCAGGCTGGGAAGGAAGGCTGATCCTATGTCAATGCAGTCCCCAGCATCCCACTCCCTCAGCCATTGTACTTCTTGGTTTTGTTCCTTCATGCCTTGTTCTTAAATTCCTGACATTTGTGCATCTGTTTACCCCTCCCTCTGTGCTTGTGTCTAGTATGCTACCCAAAGTGGTCAACAAGTTCCTAGACAGCACCCTACACAAAGTTCTCCCTGGCCTGGTGAGTGGCCCAAAGAAAGTGTGCACCCCTCACTCCCGGGCTTACTTAGACAATGGCTGACAAATCCATCTTTTCTTGGGTGCTGACTCTGATCGATTGATAATGACTGAATGGCATGCTGGTGAGAAAGACTCGGAGACTGTGGATGGCTCAGTGTGAGAAGGTTCCATGATCACCTAGTGATGTCTGCCATGAGCATAGGAGGAAGAAGTGACAGGCTGTATATCATATCTTTCCAATCTTGCTTAGATTACCATTCTCTGTGGAATGAGTGCCCCCTGACTTTGCAGGCTGTAGTCAGGAGATCTGGGTTCTAGTCCAGGCTCTACCATTACTGTGTGTGTGACTTGGGGTCTCAGTGTTCCCACCAGTCCCTGCCAGGACTCTTGGTACTCCTCCTCATGGAGTACCATTTAGCTGTGAGGAGTGTGGTCCTCCATGCAGGGTCCCTCAGCCAAGAGTATTTTCCAATTCCAGATGTGTCCAGCCATTGACGCAGTCCTGGTGTATGTGAACAAAAAGTGGGCCAACCTGAGTGGTGAGTGTAACTCCAGCCACACCACGTCCCCATATGGGGAAATTAGGATGACTGGACTTTGATGCCCCACTTCCCATTCCAGTACCTGCCCCCAGCCTGGCCTGGGAACTAGAGGAGGTCTGATTGTCCATTGCCCCCCATTGTCCAGATGGGAAGCCTAAAGCCCTGAGGGACTCTGGGGTCCTTGCTTCTCATCCCTCCGTCCAGTGTTCCATCCATCCTCCTGGGACTCCAAGCACAGCAGCCATTCTGGGCTCATCTACAAGCCTTACCTGGAATAGTAATCCTGATTGTGGTGATACCTGACTCTCCTTGTCAAGGGAATCTGCTACCTCTATCACCTTGGGGTCCACAGAACTCCTGGTCTTCAGAAGAGGAAAGCACAACCGCTGGGACTATAGGAGTTTGGTCAGTGGTGTGGCCTAGGATAAGTCACTTCACTCCTCTGAGCCTCAGTTTGCTTCTCTGTAAAATGGAGCTGATCATCTTGACCTTACTGTTGTGAGATCCAGCCGCAATAGCCTTTAGGGAACGCTCAAACTATGGGCTCTCAGAGTGACATGACGAGGGTGATGTTCCAGGCTAGGCACTGTCACCTCCATCGTATAGATGAAGTTACTGAGGCCCAGAGATGCTAAGGAATTTGTGTTGGAACACAGAGGGCCTGGTTTCCTCACCCAGGCCAGTTTGAGTGGCCTTCTCTGGGCTACCTCTGGGGCTGATACCTTTCTGAGTGGAATCTTCCTCCTCCCACAGCTCCTATGCCTGTGGGGCAGGTGGGCACTGTCAAATATGTCCTGGCATCCACACCAACTACCACAGCCAGCTACATCCAAGTGGACTTAAGTGTAAGCAGCTGGGCAACTCTCAGGCTCACTGACTGGGGTGGGAGAAGCTTGCACCAGGGCAGGAGGGTGAGGGGCCCCCTCAGCCCTGGTTGACCCAGACCCACCGTGAGACTAAACCCTGCCACTGGGGCCTTCTTCTTTCTTCCCTAACCATGAGCCCTGGATTCCCTGAGTTGATTTCTGGGACTGCTAACTTCATACCTTCTCCCAAGGCTGTTTGCTTCTCCCAATGAGTGACTCACCCAATCATACCCCACCATTGTACAGACAGAAATACTGAGGTCCAGGGAAGAGGCAGGACTTGGCTAGGGTTCCACAGTGAGTTGGAGGCAGAGGTGGGCCCCACTCAGGTCTCCAGAGCCCCAAGTGACTAGGACAGACACATCTTCCAGGAATGGAAAGAAGTATTCTAAGATGTCATGTCCTTGTGAAGTCTCTCTTTATGTGGTTCTTACATGCCCTGTGTTGCTTTCTGCTTATCTTTGTCTCCTAAGAATAAAACTGGAAACACATTCTGTACAAATGAGGACCCCAAACAGTGAGCTTCGGGTTAACTGAGGTTACCAAAGCAGGCTTAGATGGAACTGCCTGCGGTCTAGTGACTGATTCCCTTATCTTCACAGGCCTCAGTCTGCCTAGCTGTACACTGGGAGGGCTGGACCACTGTAGCCTGCTCTGGCTCTAACATTTAATGACTTGATGATTTGGCTTGAGCCTCCTGAACATGGGGGATTGAGACGTACCCCAGCCACACTTCCTCACGGCTAAGGCTGAGTGTCTTCCTCCTGCTGTCCCACAGCCTGTGGTGCAGCAGGAAGGGGGAGAGACGATCGAGCTTCCTGATGCCAGGGAGGACCTTGAAGTCCCCGAGAACTACGCCGAAGGGTCGTCACAGGTAGAGCTCTCAGCCGCCTTCCTCACAGCCGAGCTCACCCTGCTGCAGAAGTCCTTCGATGTGAAAATCCAGGACATGAAAGTGAGCTGCCCATGGGTCCCCATTCTCCAGTCTGCTTCCATCACCTGTAATGAGAGTCAATGCCTGGCTTGTACATCCAGGAATTATCCTGGAGTTGTGGGCTACACTAGGACTGGGAGATGCCAGGGCTGATTGGGGTCCCTATCGTCAGTTCATCCCACCATCCACCATCCCTCTGTCCATGTAACTATCATCTACAACTAGCTAACTATTCATCAACATGTATCTCTCATGCATAGGCCACTCATCCACTTTCTTTTTATCCAATCATCATCCACCCATCCACATCTCTTTCTGTATTCAAGCCTTAGGCTATATCCTTCCAACTGTCATCTGTCCATCCTTTTATATCATCCAAACAACACTTAGTACAGAGCCTTATACTGTTGAAAGACTGAATCTATGCATCTTCTATCTTCCATCTAAACACCCATCTACCCACATAACTCTCTCTTATTCATCCTCATGTTCATCCACTCAGTTAGCTATTCATCCATTCTCCTATCCATTTATCATTCCACCCATCTATTTGCCTACCCATTCATCCACTCACCCTTCAATGAACCATTCATTCATCCCTTCCTCCTTCCCTCCATCCATTTATCATTCCATTCCACCATCTTCCCATCCACCCATTCTGCCATCTATCTGCGCACTTATTCATTCAACATTTTCCCAGCATTTGACCATATGCTAAGGTCTGTGGGTACAGGGATATGTAAACCACAGTCTTGGTTATCCAGGAGGTCATTATCTAGTTAAGCACAGACCTAAGCATGAGTAATAAGTGTTGTGACGAAAGGAACCTCAAAGGCTGTATCTTTTTGAATTAAAGATGTTTATTAGAATAGTCAGTAATCCTAACCTTGATTTTTATTTTGTAGATTGGTAATATGCCCCCACAAACCACCAAGACTCTGGCTGGCTTCATCCCTGAAGTGAGTGCCTCAACCACCCATGGTTGCCACAACCTGTCCTGTCCTGTTCTCCTACACTTGAAGGGACAAGGGACTTCAGATGCATAATTTCAATGCCACATCACGAAAGTATCCTGACTTCTCTATAAAGTACTTTTGGGATTTGGCACAGACACAACAGAAATATCTCAGCTTTTTCTGTGTCCAATACAGAAATAGCCATCTTGTGAGTTTTGTCCCTTCTGTTTCCTGATGGACACATCCCAGCCTTTGCATGTCATACCTCTTGTGTCCAAGGCAGAAATTGTCTATTTCATGAGACTCCTTGTTTCAACTGAAGCCACCAGAGTGAGGGCTGGCCCTGAGGGGACTTTCCTGGTTTCTATAGGTCGCTGAAGCCTATCCCAAGCCAAAGCCCTTGGTGATGGAGATCAAGATAAACAAGCCCCCCAAGGTCACCATGAAGACAGGCAAAAGTCGGCTTCACCTCCATGGCACCATAGAGATGTTGGCTGCTAGACGGAAGAGCAAGGCTCCTGTGTCCCTATTCCTCCTGGAAGTCGTGAGTGTGGAATTGATCCCCCTTAGTCCCACCCTCATCGACATCAAGGCTGGAGGGAGAGATTTTAGTTGATAGCTGAGTAATGAATTGGAGGGCTCTTGATTAATCCCAACTGTGTAACCCTAACCTCCCAGGCACTGTCACCTGAAGTCTGAGCCATAGATTTGCCATTAAACTTTTGAATGGCTTGGAAGACCAACAAACTGAGGGCCAATTGTTTAGTTCTTCCTTTCTCCCCCCTCTCTCCCTCCCTCCTTCTTGTCTCTCTCCCTTCCTCACTCTCTCCAGCATTCATTAGCACCTATGTGGGCAGTGCAGGATTTACCTAGGGAACCATGGGAGCCCACAGAGGCCCTAAATCCAGTTTAGAGAAATCACAGTGGACTTTCCAGAGGAGGTGATGCCTGAGCTATGTTTTGAAGGATGAGCAGAGTCTGGCTAGGGAAGGGGGTTGATGCTGGGGAGGTTGGGGCTGCAGAGAACGCTAGGCAGAGGATGTGGCATGTGTAAAGGCCTGCAGCTATGATGCATATATGCAGGGACCTCCAAACGGTGCCAGTTATTTTGAGGGTACTGTCCTGGACTGGGTAAGGCTGGGATAAGGAGCCCGGGCTTGGGGCATGAGAAGACTGTGGGTTCAGTCCCTGAGACTGGGGTGGGCAGATGAGGATTCACACCAGAGTTCCATCTGACACCTGCTCTGTCTCGGCAGTGGTGGTGGTGCTGGGAAGGTAGTAAAGCCCCCAGCTTCACCAGCTCTGACTAGGGAACTCATTGCCTTTCCCCCTGCCACCCATGTCCCCAGCACTTCAACCTGAAAATCCAGTACTCAGTGCATGGCAACAGGCTGAAGATGGCCACATCTCTGTACAGGTAAGAGCATGCTGCCCCACACTGGCATCCTGTGCCCCTGTATAGGCATTACCCACCCTGGTTCCTGCTCCAGGCTCTCCCCCTGATCCATTCATCACAGCCACACTACCAGGCTGCTCTAGTCACTATCCCTGACCTAGAACTTTCAATGGCTCCCTATTTACTGTCCATATGATCTTTTCTCAAATCTTAGCCGGGCACGCAAGCCTTTCTCAAATTCTCCCACCTCTGTGCTCACTATTCCACCAGGCTCTTGTACAGTTTGTTTGCCCATGAATCCATGTCTCCTTTTCCATCCATGGGCCTGTCAGTCAGGGCCCAGCTCAAATGACATGTCTTCCAAGAAACCTTTTCTTATACTAATGACAGCTGACATTTATAGAGCTCACTGACATGCCAGGCATTGGCTATGCACATTATATTCATTATCCCACTTCATCCTTACATTCTGGGAGGAGGACCCTATTAATATCCTAGCTTTATATTCACTTGCTCATTAATCTTGCATTTGCCTAGATCTTTGATCTAACTTGTATCGGGCCATGATTCCTTAATTTGCAAAAAAACATAATTCCAACTTTGATTTACTTAAGCCTAAAAGGATATCATTTGCTTTATATAATTGAAAACTCTACAAGTAGGTCTGCCTTCAGGCATGGCTGGATCTAGGTACATAAGCAAAGACCTCAAAAGTCTGTCTCCCTGCTCCCCTTTCCTCTGATGTCCACTTTTTTGGCTGAATTCTCAGGTAATATTTTTCTCACAAAAAACAAAAACAAACTCACTGCAATCGAGTTGATTCCGACTCATAGTGACCCCCATTTTGATTCCTGAGATGGAAAATCTTTGCAGAAGTAGATTGCCCTATCTTCCTTCTGTGGAGTAGCTGGTGGGTTTGAATCTTTTTTTACATCATGATAAAAATGGCGCCAGCAATGAGAGGGCTCTTGTCCAATTGTTCTAACAAAATTATCAAGATCTTGTTGGTTTAACTTAAGTCACATGCCCAACCCTAAACCAATCACCATGACTGGGAGATGTATGTTCTGATTAGCCAGGCCTGGCTCATTCACTCTGGGGTTTCTTGGTTTAGTTCTACCTGAAAGCCTTGGAATGATAGCAGAAAATGGAAGATCTGTTACTGGATTTGAAAACAGATATGAGTCATTGGAAGATCATTGTCACAGAGTCTGTTCTGGTGCCAACATGTGCTAGTTTCTACTAGAGCTTATGCAGGAGAAGGAGTGAGGTGAGAGGCCCGACTCTATTGCCTGCAAGGATCTGGGCCTGACCACCAGTTGGACTGCAAACTTTTGCACACTTGGCCTGGGGCAGGAGCAGTAGACATGGTCAGGAGTCCCAGAGGGAAGAGTCAGGACAATAAGAGGAGTTACAGGAGAACTGTGGGAAACAGAATAGGTTGTAATGAAAGGTGGTGAGTGCCCCATCAGGGGTAGCATGTAAGCAGAGGCTTATGAGCACCTGGTCTAGAGGTTGTACTATTGCATCAGGGAGGCCTTAGGGTACTTGGGACTCTCTCCAAGGCCAGGGGCCTTGGCTCTGATCACTCTTTCCCCCTTTTCCCCCTGTCCTGCCTTCCACAGATTACTGAGTCTGTCCCGGGAGTCCTCATCAATTGGCCCATTTGATGTAAGTGTTCTGAGGGCTTCTGCCTGGTCTGGCTGTAGCACAAGACTGGGCCTAGTCTACCTTGGGGCTGCAGGAAAGGGGTTCAGAACTAGACAGAGGGTGAATAGAGCAAGGTCATTGTGGGCCCTGGGACTCTGATTTCTGTGTGACCTTGGGAAAACCTTGGCTTCTCTGAATCTCTGTTTCCTTTTCTAGATAGAAACTGGATTGATTTTGAAAACATTGCTATGTGTAGTGGCAGCTTAGGTTGGCCTTCGTTGGCCAAGCTGTTATTTTTATTAGTCTCTCTGGTCTCAGGACCCAACACAGACCGTGAGTTCACCAGGTGCTAAAAACAACAACAGCGGCAGCAGCAACAGCACTTAATGAGTTTTTACTCTGTGCTATTGTTTTATATAATCTCATTTAATTCTCATGGAAGCCCTGTGAGTAGGTACTATTCTATTCTGCTTTTACAGATGGAGAAACTGAGGTGCACAGAGGTGGTGAATGAATGACTGAAAGTAGAATTTTCTGTTGGAGCAAGAGTGGGTTCCACAGGGCCCTACTGCCTCTCTGAATTCCCCTATCCTGACACTGTGACCCAAAGCCACAGGCATCACCTGAAGGGACACAATGGTGGTGAAGAGCACAGGCCTGCCTCTGAGGCCCAGTGTTGACAATGGCTGGGCAAATTATTTGCTGTCTCTAATATTCACTCCTGTTCCCCTCCCCACCAGCCCAGCCAGAGTAGGGGTTGAAAAAAATTGTTGAAGTGAATGAAATTGAATTGAATTCGATGGTAGAATGTGGGTATTTTCTCTTTTTCTTTCTCTCTCTTTCCCCCAGGAGCAGGAATTGACTGGCTTCATCACCAATTATCTCCAAGAGGCTTACATCCCAGTTGTCAATGGTGAGGGCTCTAACAGGCTTTGATTTTTCTGGGGCCAAGAAGCACTTTCAGCAGGAAGGGATGCCACTTGGGTGTTGTCAAAGTCCCACCAGGAGTTCTGGGGTGGGGAGGGAGAGCTAAAAGGGAATGGATGGTCATTGCTGAATCTCTGAGATCAGTGCAGTCTTATTGTCCCCTGCCTGGGGACAAAGTCCCCTCCCACTATTTGGACTCTGATCTTGACCCCAGACCATCAGTCAGATCTCCACCCAGACATGGTACAGTAAATACATGGCGATCAGGCTTATGCTTTCTCTGCATGTGCAGCTGGCAGACATCATAAATCAACCAATGCACTATTTCCCACTAGTCTGTGCCAGGCAGCCACTCCTTAATCAACTGCAGAGCAAGTAAGCTGAGATGACTCTTACTGTATTTCTCAGATGTGCTCCAGGTTGGGCTCCCGCTCCCGGACTTTCTGGGCATGAATTACAACCAGGCTGACCTGAACACAGTAGAGGTGAGGGGAGAGGCTGGGAGGGCATATCAATCAACACATTCAGCAAATGGGTGATGAGCAAGAGCCCCTCACAAACTTGAAGGAAAGGTAGGAAGGGGAAAAGCCATCAGTATAATGCTGCCAATCTGAAGAGCAAGATCTTGTCCAGCAGAACCTAGGCCCATCCTGGCCAGGGCTTCCCAGGAAGAGACTTGAGCTCTGCTAATATCTTGTCTGCCCCCTTGGGCAAATTATTTTACCTCTCCATGCCTCCATTTTTCTGTACATAAACGAATAATAGTAATGGTGATTTGGGTACTGACCTCAAAGGCTGTCCTGATGATTCATTGAGACAATTCACCTAAAGGTATACAGTAAGTGCTCAGCACTGCCCTTGGAGTGTTAAATGAGCATTTAGTCATTCTATCCCTCCAAGTCACCTAAAGGTATACAGTAAGTGCACAGTAAACACCAGCTTTCCATTGCATGCCAAGCACTGCCCTTGGAGTGTTAAACAACCATTTTGTCATTCTATTCCGTACTCTAGGAGGTAGGGGGCTGGTCCCCACTTGAGAAAACAGGCACAGATTGGTGAGGGGACCTCCCCAGGGTCACATGGCGAGTCTAGTCCAACCTCTGCCCTTTAACACCACACTGGTTTCCATTTCCTGGCAACATAGCTGTTCCATCCCACCTCCAAGCCTGGGTGGGCCTGTCATTGCTCCTCCCCCACGCTGGCCCTTTGCTTCCTGCCAGAACGCTCTGGTACTGAATTTGAAGTTGGAATGACCGTGGCAGAACTCACCCGCCAGCTGCCCATACACCACCAACTGACTGTGCCCCATGAAGGGGGTCCCCTGATTGGAGCCGAGTGGGCCTGGCTGCTTCCTTTGCTGAAGAGTGAGTGGAACAGGCTTGAGTTGGGGCCTTGGCAATAAACAGGTGAAAGGCCCTTACAAACACCTGCTGCTTTAGCCTCTTTATTTATGGCAAACGGACGTGTGGCTTTTCTTCTCCTTCAGAAGGTTTTGGGTCTAAGAGCAGCTCAGGCTTGGAGGGCAGCCAGTTATAGCTTTGGGGGCAGGCTTGAGCACATATTGAGCACCAGCTGAATACCAGACTCAGAGCTTTACTGGGATCATTACATTTAATTCACACAATGACCTGATGTGGAGAGGGCAACATCCCTACTTTACAGGTCAGGAAATTGAGGCACAGGGAGGTTAGCTTCTTTGCCCAAAGTCACAGATTTAGCCAGGGCAACACTCATCCCACCCACTTTAACTGGCTCCCACCTGCTTCCAACCTGGGTAACTTGAGGATGGCCCCACTCACAGGGAACCTGCAGAGGGCCCCCGGTACTTCAGGAGCTCCCCTGTGTCACCTCCTTTAATCCTCACAACAGCTGAGGCAGGTAGGGACTGTCCCCATTTCACAGATGAGGAGATTGAGACTCGGACGGATGGAGTGACTGGCATGGGACCAACTCGCAAGGTGGGGGACAGAGCTGGGTTTGGAATCTGGGCTCCAGAGCCACCCTGCTTGGATTTAAATCCTGCCCCTGCCTCCTTGCTGCTCTGTGCCCTGGGCAAGGTGCTTCACCTCTCTGAGCCTTAGTTTCCTCACCTATAAGATAGGAATGCCAACCTCAGCAGGGTTGTTGTGAGGAGTCAGTGGGTCATGTCGTGGAAGTACTTACCTCAGTGCCTGACACACATGTGCTTAATCAATGTTAGCCACAGGTGGGTTTCTGAGGCCAAGAGATGTGAGCTGGTGTTCTGTGTTGAGGTGTGGGTGGTGACTGCATGGCTATGTGCCAGCGGTTATGTGCATTGGTGCTGTATCCTAATGGGCCAGGGATGAGGGTGGCCTGCTAAGGAATATGCATCTCCAGGGTTGGTGGCTTGTGTGTGGTGTGTGAATCTGCCTGTATCTGTGTGTCTTGGGTCCACTTGTCTGTGGTCTGTGTCCAAGGGTGTCTCAGGGTCTCTTAGAGGACACCGGTGCGAGGATCACCTCCCTGACATTTGCCATATCTTCTCCATCACCTCTCCTAGGACTTATACTAATATCATTCTTTAAATTGATTCCCTTGAAAAATACATTATATATTATAAATAGACTCTGAAAATCAACATCATTTGCTAGAATATTAAAACAAAATCTATAATGGAAATAAACGTATGTTGGGGTGCATCTGTGATCAGTTGGTGTTCCAGCCTTGGAAGCTTTTTGGGTTGGCGGCCATGTGTCTGTGTGTCAGCATGTGTACCTGTCAGTATGTCTGTGTCTCCATGGGGGTGAGTCTTTGTACATTGTGCATGGAGCGGGGGGGCTGGTGGGTCTCTTCATATAGGTGGGTCTGTATCTGGACACCTATGTGTATTTCTGTAGGTGGCATGGGGGCCGGGAATCCAGGACTCCCAGAACCTGGGGAGCCCTGGCAGGTCAGCCCCATTCCAGCCTGGCCCTAGACTCATGCCACAGAAGAGGGAGGGCCCTTCCTCGCGTTGGCCTGGATGCCAGGGCCATCCCCTTGTCTCTCACTATTGGCCCTAATCCTGTCACCCATCATCTCCTTAGGCTCTGGGACAATGGGAGCCTTGACACAAGATTGGCGCCTGGGTAATCCATGGGTGGCTGGCGCCCGACACTAGGCATGCCAGAGACGCCCCCTTCCCCGCTCTGCCCTTAGGTATTCACACAGCACCCTCATGGCTATCTAAAGCCTCACCAGGCCTAGTGTGCATATGGGGAAACCAAGGCACAGCTATTTGCACAAAGAGGCTTTGGATTCTTGTACTGGCTCAGCTAGGGCCACACTTGTGGCCTGGCACAAGTCACAGCGCCTCTCTGAACCTCATCTGTACAGTGGGAGACGGGTTGGGTGTTCTGACCTCTAATCTGATTCTTTGAATCATCAGTTACTCTCCATTTAGCCTCGACTCGTTGAATAATGGATAATGGCAGCTAGGCCAGTGTGCACCAGCCACTCCTCGGGAGGGAGACTGGGCAATCTACTTCCGTAGAGATACCACCTCAGAAACCCAAGGAGGGGTTGCTATGAGTTGGATCCAACTTGACGGCAGTGAGTTTGGTTTTGGCTTGGTTTAGGCCAGTGTGGGGAGCACTATGTTGTGACCCCACTCCCTGGGAAGCAGCAATGAAGATTCTGTTTCACCGAGTCCCTGTGTGCACTGTCCACCTTCAAGACTCCCACAGCCTAGATGAAGAAGCAGAGGCTCAGAGAGATGGCTTTGTCACCTGGGCTCACTGTGAGTCTGAGGGCACGTGGTGTGTATGCTTAAGATGTTAAGTGCTAGAGTCAGCCAGCCTGGCTGTGCTTGCTCCTGTGTGCCCTCAGGCAAGCCACTTCCTCTTGCTGAGTCTGGGCCCTTAGACTGTATTTTGGGGAAATAATAGTATTGACCTCACCAGCTTGCTGTGATGACTGGATGGATTATCATATGCTAGGTGCCTCGTAAGGAGCTCTGGTGGCACAGTGCTTAAGGCATTTGACTGCTAACCAAAAAGTTGGCAGTTCAAACCTACCAGCTGCTCCATGGAAGGAAGATAGGGCAATCTATTTCCATAAAGGTTTACCACCTTGGAAACCCCATGGGGGTTGTTATGAGTCGGAATTGACTCAATGGCTGTGAGGTTTTTTTTTTTTTTTTTTTGCAATGTCTTGTACACAATAAGTGCTCCATAAATACTCGGAGTCAGTTTTCCTTCCTGTTCTCTCAAGCAAATGTCTTAAAAATATTGGCAGTACCAAGTACTGGGAAGGATATGGATTAGCGGTAGCTCTCATGTACTGCTGGTGGGCGTGTCTAGTGGCCCAGGCACTTTGGGGAACTGAGCCAGCAATAGAGCTAAACGTGTGATTCTTTACCCAAGAGAAAGGAAAGATAAAAACATATTTTCCCAAACAGACTGGACAGGAATATTCATAGCAGCTTCATTCCTAACAGCCAACAGCTGGAGCTGGAAACAACCCAGGTGTCTCTACATAGGAGAATGGATCACAAGCTGGGGTGTATCACATAATGGAGTAGTATACAGCAAAGAAAAAGGACAGGCCATTACCTCACATTCAAAATGGATGAATAGGAGCCCTGGTGATACAAACTGTTAAGCACTCAACTGTTCACTTAAAATCTGGTGGTTCAAATTCACCCAGTGGTCCTCCCTTGGAGAAATACCTGGTGATCTGTTTCAGTAAAGATTAGAGCCAAGAAAACCCTTTTGGGCAATTCTACTCTGTCACATAGGGTCGCTATGAGTCAGAATTGACTCAACATCATCCCAAACAGCAACAGTGTGTGAAAGTAGGGCAGTGGGGGATCAGTGGTAGACTTCTTGACTTCCATGTGGGAGACCCGGGTTCAATTCCCAGCCAGGGCACCTCAGACACAACCACCTCCCATCTGTCTGTGGAGGCTTGCACGGTGCTATGATGCTGAACTGGTTTCAGCAGAGCTTCCAGACTAAAAAAGACTAGGAAGAAAGAAAGACCTGGCAATCTATTTCCAAAAAGTCAGCCAATGAAAATTTTGTGGGTCACAACAGTCTGATCCTGTTGTGCACGGGGTTGCCGTGAGTCAGGAGCCAACTGGATGCTAGCTAACGACAACGACAGCAACAGGTGAAAGAAGCCACATTCACAAGAGCACACACACTCTGTGTGAGTCCATCTACGTAAACTGCAAGAACATACTGACCTTACCCACTTTGTCTGAGATCAGATAGTGGCTATCTTGGGGGCAGTGACTTCAAGGGAACACATTGTGGGAGTGGGGTGGGGCTTCTGGAGTGTTCAAGTTATAAAAATGTATTGAGCTGTGCCCTTTTCTGTAATATTTTATACAATAAAACTTAAAAATATAAAAAATATTTACAAAACAGTTTGGTTTGGTTGAGTAACACTTAGGATGCACCCTGTAGGGTTAGGGGTTTGGAAGTTATTGGGGTGAATGAGACAAATGCCTCCTCCTGCCCCCACAATTGCCATCTTAACCACTGTCCAGCACAGCTTCTTAGAAGGCAGGAAAACGCTACTCAGTTTCTGGCCCATCTCATCTCCCTGCAGGAGACAGGCCCACAAACAAACACACCGATACACAGCTATCACCCAGCATGTCGCAAACTCCAAGAGAGTTAACTTCAAGGAGCTGTAGGGGGCAAGGTGGTACCTCACCCAATTTGGGGTTAGGGAAGGCTTCCCGGAGGAGATGTTGCCTAGACCAGTACTTGCAGAAGAATTGTAAACAACAGCCTAGGTCCTTATAGTAACCTGCAGGGCCCCTCACCTTGGCCACATCTCCCCCACTGCCTCTTGCCTACTCCCCTCCAGCCACACTGGCCTTCCTGCTGTTTCTGGAACACCCACCCCACTTTAGGACCTTTGTAGTGGGGTTCCTCTGCCTGAAAGGCTTTTCCCCAGACTGCACCTGGTTCTCTCCCTTGCCTGATCTGGGCCAACAGCACCCCTGCTTGTATACGAGGCCTCTCCTGACAACACTATTGAAAGCTGCACCCCCTACACACACCCCTCCCATGCTTTTCTGTCTCATCAGCTCTGACCTGCTGTACAATGTGTTTGCTCCATCCTGAGCTGCACTGTCCCATACGACAGCCTGTTGCCATGTGAGGCTAGTGAGCACTGGGAATGTGGTGAGTGCAAGTGAAGGTGTGGTGGACGTGCATTTGCAGACTTGCTTTGGACAAAGAATACAACATAGCTCACTAATAACCTTATATTGATTACATGCTAAATGATACAATTTTGGATCCATTGGGTTAAATAAAGGAGCTTTGGTGGCACTGTGGTAAGGCATCTGGCTGCTAACCATAAGATTGGCAGTTCGAACCCACCAGCTGCTCTGTGGGAAAAAGATGAGGCAGTTTGCTTCCGTAAAGATTTACAGCCTTGGATAACCCTATGGGGGTTGCTATGAATTGGAATCAATTTGATGGCAGGGTTTTTTTTTTTTTTTTTTTGGGGGGGGGGAGAGGGTTAAATAAAATATTCTATCAAAATTAATTTTGCCTATTTCTTTCTTTCTTCTTCTTTTTTTAATGTAGCTACTAGAAAATTTTTAATTGCATTGTATTTCTACCAGTCAGCTCCTTGAGAACTGGGCATTTGTCACCTGTTCAGTGCTGCACTTAGCAAACAGTGAATGTTCCTTAAGTATCTGCTGTAAAATGAATCTTGGAAGGTGGGGATGGAGTGGGTGGCCCTCCCCACTCAGCTGAGAAGCCTCTCTCCAGGTCCCAGGGCTGTCACCTTGCCAGGCCTGAACAGCCCCTCAGTTGGGGGCAGGGAGAAGAAGCAGGTTGGATTCTGTGCCATTTGGGTGGCTCTTGGGGAGTCCTGGAGGGAGACCATCCAGGTACGGCTGACGGGCACGTGGCAGAGCCCCACCCCTGCCCCCAGCTCTGGACACTGAGCTCAGCCCCCTTACGCCCCTGCCACTCTTCCCCGAGAAGGAAGGCTTAGCCGCAGCCCACAGGGAAAACCGCAATTTGCTTCTGACATGACACATTGACGGATTTCTGGCGGCCAGGCCCCCTTTGTGTCCCTAGAGCCTCTGTGGGCATATAAGGGCAGCCCCTGAGCCCGGGGGGGTGGAGGAGCCAACAGGAGGTTGGGAGCCCCCCACCCCACCCCTCGTGGAGCTGTAGGAGCTGGTAAGGCAGCCTGAAGTAGCCTGGCCTTGTCCCTCTTCCCAACTGTTGACCTTGTGACCTTCCTGCTGCCCCACCTGAATAATGAACACAAAAAGAATTCATCTCTCATAGGGAATTGTGTGACAGGAGGGGACAGAAAAAAAACAAAAACCATACAGATGGAAAAACTGAGGCCCAGAGAGAGGCCCAAGCAGTTCTACAAGGTCATGGCAGCAGTGGATGGGTTGGGTATAGAGTCTATGACAGGGCTCCAGGGGTGCCCGTTTCTCTCTCAGCCCTGGAAGCCGACTGATCGCCCATTGTAAGTACATTTTCTTCTGTGAGAGACCTGGAGGCTACACGGAGCCACTGTGGGAAGAGGCTGGTGAAACAAAACAGACACGGCCAAGGTTGCTGCTGACTCAGACAGTGCTCGTAAGGCAACTGTGTGCGAACCAGGAGAAGGTGCCCTCTCTGGGCAGACAAAGCTTGCGCCAGGGCAAATGGTCGGGGAGAGCAAAGTGCAGCGAGATTCCATCCTCACTCGCCTCCTTGGAGGCTTCCTGGGTGGCACAAACAGTTAAGTGCTCGACTGGTAGCTGAAAGGTTGGCAGTTTGAACCCATCAAGAGGGCCTCGGGAGATAAGCCTGGCTATTTGCTTCCAAACGTCACAGCCTTGAAAACCCTATGGAGCAGTTCTCTGCACACACGAGGGTGGAAATGACTCCATGGCAACTAACAAGAACAAAGCCCCCTACGCAGGCTCCCCCTGCAGCACACAGAATCCAAGACCGTGCAGGGGGCCCTAGTCCCTATCCTCGGGGAGCTTACAGAATGATACACAAGGCATCATTGCAAACTGTGATAAGTGTCTTAGAGGAAATACTCTGGGTGATGTTTGGTGAAGACAGGCTTCTTTAGAAGTGGTGAAAGAGGGAGTTATCTCTGAGAAGGTGGCATTCATTTGGAACCCAAAGGATGAGGAGTCAGGGGAATAGCCTTCTTAACAGAAGGAACAGTACATGCAAAGGTCCTGAGGTAGGAAAGCACTTTGCACATTTAAGGAAAAGTAAAGATGTCAAAGAGGCATTATGCCATTATGGATAATGGCAAGGAGCCTGGGTTTTATCCCAAGAGCAGTGAGGAGCCATTGGAAGGTTTAAGCAGGAAGATGCGAAGAGATGCATGGATACGTGATTGGGTGGGCAGATACGGATTCCATGAAGAAAAGTCCCATTCTATGAAACTAGTAAGTTAGCTATGCTTTTTTGGCTTAAATAGTCTCTTGCCTCTCATCCCATCCTCTTCTTCCACAACATTGGAGTTGGAGGTGGGAGTGGAAGAGAGAGAGAGAGAGACAGGACACGTTAAGTCTAAGTGTTGGGTGTCCTCAATCAGCCACGCCTTCTGAAATGGGCTCGTGAGCCAAAAGGGAAGCAGATCCAAGAAATAAAGCTCCTGGCCTGACGTTCTGGAAAGGACAGCCCCTCTGTAGCTCTCCGTCCAGCGAGCAGCCCAGGTTCACCAGTTCCACAGAGGATGGAGGCTCACAAGTCAGAAGGACTCGGGTTCTAATTCTCACCCTGTTACTGATCAGCTCTGTGGCCTTGGTGGAGTCCTCACCTCTTTCTCTGCCTCAGCTTTCCAATCTATAAAATGGGATGCAATGATGGAGAGCCTTGGGAAGTGCCTTGTAGACTGCAGAGCGCTTTGGAAACTGTACCGTGCTGCGCATGTTAGCGTGGCTTGCATTCCGATGCAGAGGGCTTTCCTGGGAGTGAAGCTGGACTTGGGCTGTGCCAGGTGGGACAGAGGGCCCCAGGTTGGGGATGAGGAAGGGAAAAGGCTTAGGCATGAGAGCTCCTGTTTCTGCTCCTTTATAGGTGTGCGGCCGACGATGTTGGGTACATGGTCCCTGCTTCTCCTCTGGGGTCTAGTGACTCCGAGCCAGGGGCTCCTCGAAACAGTGGGCACGCTAGCTAGGATCGACCAAGATGAGCTCGGCAAAGGTGAGCCCAAGGCGCACAGTTTGTGAGGGGTCTGGCTGGAATAGATTGGCTTAAAGGATCTGCTTAAAACAGATGGGAACAGGTTGATATTCTCAAGTGCTTAGAGAAGATTTCTTCCTGGGACACTGGAAGTAGCTGAGTTTCTTCAGGTGGTTTAAGGTTTGTTTTGCAGACTGGATTGGGTGATTCACTCATTTTCTTCTAAGCTGTGAGCTGGGTGGACATGGACAACGGCTGTGTGAGGGCTGTGCCTGGCTCTGTGTTGGGGAGAGTAATATTGAGGAGGCCAAGGGGAGCTGGCTGGATGGGCCAGTGCCTTTGTTCCACATTTCTAGGGTGGGGGAACTCTATCCGGCATTTGGTATTTTAGGGCCTAACAGCTCAGGGTGACAGTCTCAGGAAGGAGTAGGGAGTAGGGCAGTCATGAACTGGAAATGCATCAGGGACACCACCTTGACCTGCCTCAAGTCCCCATGTCCATGGAGAGGTCCCTTCCACTTTGTCCTTCTCATGAGCCTCACAGAGCCAGGTCTAGTGTTCCCCCACAGAGCAGGGATCCCCTCTTCCCTCTTAATCATGCCCCTGGTGGCCGCTGCATTCCCTCTTCTTTGGTTCTGCCCTTCCTTCTGGTGTTGTAGGGCAGTTGGGTCAGGAGTCCTAGTCATACTTGATTAGCTGTGTGACTCTGGGCAAGTCCCTGCCCCTCTCTGGACCTCCGTTTCCCTATCTGTACCATGACAGGATTGTCACGGGATTCATTCATTCAAATACTTCCTGGGTACCTTCCACATGTCAGGCAGGGTGGGTGGCCGCCTGCCCTGCTGTTTAGGCTCGGTGGGCTCCATCAATCAAATGTAACCTCTGGGTAAGTTCTATTTAAAAAAATGGGGTCTGACTGGAGCTCAGAGGAACAGGGTGGCTGCTGTGGTCCTGGAGGTGGGCTAAGAGTTTCCAGTACCTTCCTACCC